GCAGGTTGCGTTGATGCAAACTTTTTTCAGGACCAAGGTGCAGTGAACAAAAATATAGTGAATGGCCATAGAGGGCAGTCGTATCTGTGGCAGACTTACTTTAACTTCATTAGTATGTTCCCCGTGCCGTCTCTACCCCGCCGACGTATGAAGTTCCCATGTTTTGTGGTAAGTGCGGGTCTCATGCGTACATGTCCAGAGTGCATTGAGCGTGTCACGAGGTTGTGGCTGTTGACCTTGCTGGCGTCCGACCATCGACGTCCCCGTGTCGCCTTGCTGCGGGGTCTGACTGGACGCTGACTCAGGACCATCAGAGTTTGCCGTCTCTTTGTCTTTTCCCTTCACCATCTTTACCTCTCTTTGGCAGAAAGCTGACACAAGTAGAAGGTCCCTTCGTTTTCTTTAAAAATGTGCCTTTTGGTTACGCAAGATAGATTTTAGGATAAAAACATTATGGATAAAAACATTTTCATATCAAAATAGTATCTGAGTTAAGCGTCCTCCATGTTGTATGTCAACATGACAAGACTCCACCTGTGTAGCAGTGGGACAAGAATGTGGGTGAGGAACTCCTCCGCTAAACATACCAATAAATAATGAGAACTATGTTGCTCTTGAAACATTCTGTCTAAATTCTTTATATTATCATGTATATTTCCAAAGTGTACTGAAGACTTTATTTTTGCATACCGACTGTTCTGTTCTGATTATGTACATTTTTTGCTTTTTGCAAAAATACACTGATGCCGGAACACACCATGGCGATTTGATGCAGAGTCTGTGTGTGTGTGTGTGTGTGTGTGTGTGTGTGTGTGTGTGTGTGTGTGTGTGTGTGTGTGTGTGTGTGTGGTTATTGTATCTCCAGAGTTCTGTCTATGGAGCAATACTTCCCGTTTCCTGCTTTGCTGACCAATGATAACCTGATACACCCCGGAGACAGCTGTGGGGTCGCCGAGGGGGATGTGGAGGAAAAGAGGCAACGGGTACGATACAGAAGTGGAAGGAGATGCTCAGCAAAGCGATGCTGCTGTGGGGTCATTAGTTAAAAGAGGAGTCACCGTGTTCTGATGAAACGATCAAATCAGTCTCCATTGTGTCGATGAAACCGGCAGGCGCTCTTTGAAGCGATACCACATATACTTCGGAACTGTTTAGATGTCGTGTATGTGGGTCCGAGCCACCAAATCTCCGCACACAATGCTGTTTGTTATTCAATCCGTTTTAATTGGTTTCAAGTCTGCCTCATTTGCACATGCATGCTAAGAGGGCATATCACCAGAGGAGAGCTGGGGATGGAAACGAGTTGAAGGCACCTAGAATGAGAGCGAGAGAGAGAGAGAGTTGTACAAAGAACGCCTAAAAGGAGGAATGAATGAACAAATAAAGTGAATAACAGACGGGATGTGAGTAAGTGCTTCCAGAAAAATCCGTCTCTCCGGTTTCCACGGCAACGAGAGGTGCAAGTTGGCTCTGCTCTCTACATAACCAATTATGTCTGTGTGTGAGTGCGGGGGTGTGCGTCTCTACTATCCAGTGCTATTCATATGCAAAAGAGAAAAAAAGGTGGGTCTGTGATGATGTTTGCCGGGCATTTTATTTTAACGCGATGTGTTTGTGTGTTTCATCCATGTCAAGCCGTCTTCTGTCAATATATCAGCCGCCATGACTACTGTCTTCCACACACACACACACAGACACGCAAACAGAACCCACCATGTTTGTTCCTTTGTGTTTGAATGATGTTTACAAAAGAGAACTCTGAGCGTTACAAGGAAACACCGGTCTCAATCACCAGCTTCAAGTCTCCTTCAATAGAGCATGATGCTCATTTAGTACATTTTGTTCCCAATTAGAGTAAAATAGACGGTGAATCAGGCTACGCTCTAGTTCCTGCTACCTTGTGATTGACAGGTGGCTTCCACGGCTTTGCACGGTCTCGGAGTTGTCTATGTCTTTGTCTTTGTACTGTAAAATTGCCCATGTTTTTTCATTTTATGAAAATGAATAATAAACAGCTTGGTTGCCTTAAAGGGTTGGTTCATTTTTCAGTGACTAGTTATACTTATGTACCTCCATTCGTCTGGTTACAATAAATCAGGATGACTACTGAACTCGTGGCACCATGACAGCCGTCCACAAAGCAACAGGTGACGTCATGGTGACTGCGTTCACTTCTGATACGCAGTCTAAAGCCTCGTGTGAGTGCCGCAGCTCTGTGGGAGTGCATTATTAAATTGTTAGAGAACACCCTGCCTGGTCTATGCAGTCAAATTGAAAATAAGAGAGAGAAGCTCCCTCGCATTGGTTTCCAGTTGCTTTTAGAATCGATTTTTAAGTTTTCTACATTACTTTTAAAGCACTCCATGGTCTCACTCCATCATACTGTGCATTAGTCAGCGGTACCTCGTTTCCAGCAGTTCAACTCTCTTTGCATTTCCCCAATATATATTTAAAAGTAAAACTCTAAGCTAAAAAACAATCTTTGTTGAAATTAGTTGTGATCCGAATGCAGACACAGACGTGGGGTGTAAAATAAGTGAAAGGTTTATTTCAGGGATAATGGGCTCGGGAACCAGGGAGGAGCTTTAAACTCAGAACCCCGGATTACCCAGCGCCACGTGGAGCACCACTCGCACCAGCAACGCCGCTACGATGGCACAGAGGCAGGAAAGATATACTGCTGATTTGTTGAGAAGACGGAGGGCCGCTGCGCAGGTGAGGTGAACGAGGTGCAATCAGGAGGGCGCCGAGTAGGAGCCACGCCGCAAAGACGCAGGGAGCCAATCCTGATGCCCCCTACATGCAAAACCCAGAACTCATGACCTTTGTCTTGATGCACACTAAAATACATTTTTACTTCTATGCTTTCTTTACGGACCTCTTTGCATTACTCCTCTAAATTCCTTGTTTTTACAATTTGATTATTTAATAGTTTTGATGGTCTGTTTATGTTTGTAACTTCTGTAGTGAAAGGTTTCTAAATTAAACTTGATATGTAAACATGAAAAGGGCAATCGGGGAGTTACTGAAACCAGACAGATATTTTCTGTTTCATAATTTACAAATACACTGCATATCTCTATGAATTCCAGCTGAAACACTTGAACTTCTTGCCATTGGCAGCATTTTTATCCATTAAAACATCCTTAAAACCACTTCTATTTCCATAAGAGCTTATAACGTGTAACTCTTTATTGAGGACTTCTGATGCTGAATTACAATGAGGTGACACACACACACACACACACACACTGAGTTTTTCTATTCTTGTCTGCCGCAATGACACTCAGCCTGTACACACACGTCTTTGTAAGAACCGTTCTTTGTGGACTTGTACCTTTTCATTGGAGCCATTCTGCTCCCCAGTAGGACCACCAGTGAGCCGGAGATGCAGCCAAGTCGGACACTGGCACTAATTGGCTACGCTGTTAGAGACCCACTGAGCCACACTACAGAAACGGGCTCGTCAGTGTGAGGACGGAGGACGGAGGCTGGGCTTGGTGCCGGCATGAATGCAGACAGACAGACAGAGAGACAGAGAGATACTTCTAAATAGTGGTTTGATGTTCTGATGAACATGAGAATCCTCCACCCAGCTAGACACTCACACACACACACACACACATGCAAAGTTTCTGTCCTCTGACCGGAGTGGTTCACTGGTTGGTTGGGGCTGCTGTTTGTGGGGGCGGCTGCAGGAAATGGGTGATTGGGGGGCGGGGGGGGGTCTTTTGTCTGATGTACTTCAGCTGCTTTGATTGACAGCGGGGAGAGGAAATGAGGGTGTGGGGCTTAGAGAGGAAAAGAGCTTTTCTCTCCCTCCTGCCTTCCTCAGATTAACATTCACGTCCCACCTCTCCAAATTCCTCTCGTCCTCCTCACCGCTTTCACTCTCTCTCTCTCTCTGCCACGTCTTGCTTTCCTCCTCTTCTGCATCCTTCTGACCACTTATATCTTATTCAGCATCATACAACACGTCTTCGGAGGGAGGACGTGCTTTTGCTGGCTTTTTGTTACTTTCTTCTCTCCGTGTTCATTTCCTCAGCAGCATAACATTAGGTTACTCAGGGGCACTTAAGCAGCAGAGGTACATCGCTAAACAAATGCTTATACAACTGTGCCACTGACGTGCAGTGATTGAGTGTCCACGTAAGCTATTGGCCCAGACATAAATCAACTCGAAGCAAAGCCGGACCGGGCTTCGTAGACAGGTGCCAATGATGTTGCGTGTTTCAGCGGTTAATTGGCAAGTTCATGTCATATTTTGAAGTAATCTACAGGAGGACGGCTTTAACAGTCCTGATGGCTTTTGTGAAGAAATGAAATCATTTCTGTGGCCGTAAACACTGAACTGAGAGCTGTTGCGCTCATTGAGTACAAACCATTACATCATCAGATTTTTTGAAGCCTCTTATGCATCTAACTGCTGCGTCTGCCTGGAAAGGAAAACATCACCGTATTATCGGCAACAAACATTTCCTTGGACATAAAAAAGGAATCATTTCCCCTTCTGTCTTTGCAGAGAACAAATCAATAGCTAAATCTCTATATGCATTTATATAGATGTATAAATACCTCTCTGAACGGGAAACCTCTCATTATACACATATAGATCCATTGATATATTTAATGTTACTACATATATTACATATCACTTTACGTTTCCACTATAATAGTTTTATTACATTTTGTTTTGTGACATAATTAAGTACATTTATTTCAAATATTAAAATTTAAGCTAGGAACAGTGAATTTTTTTTTTCAAATCATTTTTTCTTGCACTGTGTCTCTTTTTTGTGTCTTTCTGATGCTGCGCGTCTCTCTTTCTCAATCACTCTCTGCTTTTCTGCTGCGCTTGTCCACTCGTAACCAGAGCTGCTCTGGGGGGTCTTGGTTCAAACATATAAACGTATGAAGTCCTCATGTCGGTTTCGGTTTCTTTTTTTTTTGAGCAATTTCGTTACGTGAAATTTAAGAATAATAAAAGGCGGCAGACCACGTGAGACATTCACATTTTATTTCCCATATCTTCATTTTCTTCATTACGATCAACTTAAAATAAATTTCCTCAAAACATAAAACAAAAGAAGCCCGACAAGGACAAACATAAATATAACAGCATATAATCACATTATTTCTATCACATTGAGGGTCAAGATCAGTTGCCTCCCCAGGTGTGTGAGCTGTGAGTGAAATCTAAAAGTAAGTAAAGAGCCAAGAGAAGGACATAAAACAAGGGAATGAAGTGGTTTAGAGGGAAGGAGGGAGAATATGTTCGGGAGGAGTGAAGGAGGGGCGATAATCAAATTGAAGGAAGAAACACACCGTAAGAGCAATGGCCGAGCTGAATAATGGAATAATTTGAACTCCTGCGTACACACTTAAAAAGCCTCATTTACATACAGGTTAGCATCCCGGGAAACAATACTGAATAAATTACAGAATAAAAACAGAAAACAATCATGCACCGTCTGTACAAACGTAACAAAGAGTACCTCATCTCCATGAACAAATGAAGAAATAATTCAAAGAAACTACGTTACACTCTCAATACAAAGCACCATCTGTGTTAATGCACCAGTCTCTGCTCAGCAAATCCACACAATGTACACAGAGATCTCAGGGACAGATAAAAGGGGAACTTAATTCCAGTACAACTTTAAAAACATCACTGCAACGCTACCACTAGCTTTGGACTTGACTCGGTTTGCAAACTGTGACATATTGTAAAGTGATTCAATTTGTTTGTCGTTATGTTGCGTGTTTATCCAAAGTGCAAAGAGGGTTTTCTGCTCTCTGAAGCTCATGCGGATTGTTCGGTACTGCTTTTTCTCAGTTTAATACTGTTGAATATCTCACTCCAGGCTCTGACGAGTTAGTCTGTGTTTATATCTGCACTTCTTTTACACTACAGGGTTTTCCTTGATAAAGACGTGAACATTCTACATTTGAGTAATATAAATAGTTTCAGTTCTGGATAAAAGCAAGGCAAACTGCACATAGATATTCTGACCGCTAGCACCGCGGCTGAAGAGGGAGGGGTCAATGGAGGAAGTGAGGTCACAGCTCACGTGTCGCCGCGTCGGAGAAGGTTTTTCTTCACCAGACCCTCTTTTGATCTGCAGCTATAATCATCCCGTTTAGACACTTTGTCAGAAAACTGGAAGGAAGGAGGAGAGCAAGGATGTCACGGATGAGACTAAAGAAAGGAAGGAAAATAAGTAGTGGGAGGGAGTTTTTCACCAAACACAAGAGTGATGTGTGAGAGAAGAAGCCATCGTTTCTTCTGGTCGGGTGGCCTCAGTGTGTGAGACTGGCTGTGAGAAGCAAGTGGACTAGGGTTCCAGTTAAGGATCGGCGGTGACTGCTGTCTGCAGCTCTGGCTAGCAAGAAGTGAATCTCAGAGGCTATATGGTGTCTGAGGTCAGGGGGTCACGGTCCGTGAAGGTTATAGCATGACGGTGAAAGGTGAGAACATTCATTGAGCAACACAGTTGGCTCGGGTGGAACCCGGGAAAGGAGCACCTCGATGTAGCCGGAAAGTGTCTACAGGTGTAAATCTAAGCTTTTTATTCACAAAGTGAATCGGCGGACCTTCCCAGCACTGGCCCGGGTAAGGAGCCCAAGTGGCGGGTATGGAGGACATTGACCCCGCAGCGCTAGTCCCGGTGATTTGTCTCGCCGTCCGACAGTTGATCGAGGTGATTGGGATTCTCCTGGACTCCGCCGCCGTGCTCGTTTTCAGGCTCGGCGTCCTCATCATTGCTCTCTGCGCTGTAGTCTATCGCCTCCAGAAAGGACGGCTCATCCTCCTCCATCACGTAGGTGGTGGGGCTGCTGCTGGATAAGGAAATAAAAGAGTCATTAACTTCCCTTTGTAAGATAATGATGTGAATAACCTCACGGCCACCGTGTCAGGACTTTAGCGTCTGACTTGAGGACTATGAATACTCCAAATTACATTTCCATGCCTTATTTTCAGAAATGATAAAACGAATGATAAAAAAAGTGCATAGCAACTACAAATCTTCCCGTACATGTATAGTCGAGTAGCTGAATTCAGAGGCACCGGAGATTAAGAGCTCCCTGATTTCACAGCGAACACCCATCGGAAATGGGTTTCATGGCCCCTGAACACGTCCTGTCGAGAGGCCCGTTTTGTGAAGGCACATATCAAACGTCTATAAAATAAACGCCCGCGATGTTACAGTGTGCTATTGTATTCCAAATTCTGACATTTGTTAGATGTTATTGTGACAGTAATTCGAAAATTGATCATTTAAAAAGGATTTCACAAAATGTGACCAACAGCCATCACATTGGGCTCTTGGTAGTTTGAGATGTTTTTTAGGAACCATACAGAAGCGGCCGATCCTTAGCATAGTTAGCATTTTTTAAACTATTCAATGCATTTCCGGTATAATGTTCAAGCAAGCAATTGTTTCAGCTTTAACTAACAGCGAAACAAATTGCAATATTGCAAACTAAAACGATGTTAATAAACGTTCAAAGCAAAATACACTTTTGCAAATTAAAATAAAAAAATAATTAAATCTCAGCCAAATAGACACTGAGCACTGTGTTCCGAACGGGACGGCTGTTTTTTCCCCCTCTGGGTCTTAATGGTTAAATGGTTGCTGGTTCTTTGAGGTTTTAGTGGCTTTAGTGGCTTTTTAATGGTGTTAATGGTCTGAAATGTGATCCCAGGGAGAGAGTCGATCCGAGGGGCTCAGACAATGATCTCCCACCATGCTCACCAGTGTGTGAGTGCAGCAGAGAGAAATTGTGCATCAGTATATGTACAGTAAATATGTGTGTGTGTGTGTGTGTGTGTGTGTGTGTGTGTGTGTAATGAGGATAGACCGAATATGTGTCCAAATAGATAATGAGAGTTGTGAGTCAACCATTAAAGGCCATTATGGAAAATACCAAACCCAATCTGTCCTTTATTTGAGTTACATCTTCTGTAACAGTCAATGGCAGCCATCCATATAGACAGTCCATCTCAGTCCAATATACAGACCCGTGTATATTGCGTTACAATCACTCATTACCTTTCTTCAAGTGGATAAATCTCCACATTGTGAAAACTCTTCCTGTCTTAGTTCACAAAACACACCCATGCCCGTATCCACCCATTTACTCACTCTGAGACACCCACTTCTTTGCAGACGCCTCCCAATGGCCCCAATATCATGGTTGTGATGACCTATTAAATGGTAAGTGGTACCATACCAAGGCCCACGCATAAAACCATAAACCGGGCATGAGAGCAACCAATCCCAAAGGACACTCACACAAAAACACTTTTGGAGTCCCTTAATGATCAGACACATAAATGATGGATGAATATATCAATATTAGAGTAGAGCAGGAGGGAGAGACTGGGAGACACAGAGAGATGGAGAGACGTGAGCATTAAGTGCTTTTGAGTTTAAAATAAACTGCTTTAACAAATCTGTAGAGGCGAAATTGGTGACATTAAAAAAAGAATTGAGAACTAAAGATAACCGTGGTGGTCACATCTTGGGTTTGGGCAAGTTTAATAATTCATTTGCGGTGTTGAACTGAAGTAAATCTGATCTGGTTGCACCGCAGATTTTTGAACATGGAATTTGGATAGAGTTTATTGACATTCAGTCAATAATAGCAAGGAAAAAAAACATATTTGAAGTACGGCTTCAAATAATAATAATAAAAATATCCTAATGTACAGATGAATTTATTTAGAATTTTAGAAAATATAAAAAATATAAATAAATGAAATATCTTATCTAACATAACCTTACTTTTGACCGACAGATGAGAGAAACAAAGAAACAAAAATCAATATGAACTCTTCTCCTAAGCAAACATGAGTGACAAGAATGAAGAAGAAGGTGAAGATATAGAAGATAGCACCGTATTGACAGGTGAGATTAGTATCTGTCTTAAAGTTGAACATATTGACCACTGCTGTCCCCTGAACGCACCAGCACCCTTCAGGGGATGAGGACATATTCCCAGTACGAGTGACTGTGTGAGAAGGCCGTGTAGTCATTTGCATGTTCCATGTGCATTTAATCCACACTCAACCATCGTGTTCACTGTGCTCCCAAAGATCTGTGTAGGTGTAAAAGGTTTAATGAAAAGAAAAAACTAATTTACTCACTCTTAGAGAAATAATGACATTGCTGGCAATAATCCATACAGATCCTCCTCTCACTCTGGAGCTTTTATTATATTCTTCACACATTAGCATCGATAGAATTTCAATGATGCTAACAGCGTCGCGTCATAAATAAATGCCTCCGTTAGTTTCCTGAGAAGTTCTCCAGAGGAGATCCGGGCCATCAGTGCCATCAGTGCAAACGGGGGAATGAGTCTGGCAGTAAAGAAGGTGGTTTGTGCAGCTCAATGAAAAACACTGTAAAAAGTTTACTGTTCTCCATGCCCGCGGCCTTTTAAAAAAGAAGAATTGTTTTTTAATAAAATTAAAATAAAAAATCCCAGTAGAAGGGCCCTGAGTGGGTCCTTTACACCAAAGTTCTTCATACAAAATCTCACCTGAGGCTCAGGGTGGGACCTTTCACAGCTCTGGGTAGAACCCTTTTTGAAGGGTCTTAGGAATAACCCTCTGAACAAGTTCAACTAAAAAGGGGTTTCTTGTGGGGACAACCAAAGTATCTCATATGGCTCAAGGTAGCACATTATTTAAAAGATTGCATATTGGGACGGTTACAATCTTACAATATCCACCATTTTGTAAGAAGAAACCTGCTCCTGTCACACAGCATCCATGTGCGTGTGACTTTGCGGCGTGGCACATTGCTACTAACCTGACCACTTTAGACTGCGTCCCAATGATATCGCTCTCCAAGTCCAGCAGGTGTTGGTGATTGCGCATCCCCGTCAGCCTTTTCAGCCTCAGCAGGGCCACACAGAACTGAGCTCCCATCTCCTCCAGCTCTCTGGTGCCAATCTGAAGACCCTACGGAGAACGCGTACACACACATCAAGGACGAATGCCAATGGAAATGTTCCCCAGTAGGAATTGTCACATACCGAGATGCCAAAATCCCAAAAACGTGCAGCTACAGTGTGGGCACACTTCCAAAATACAGCTAAATTAAATAAAATCAATTCAAGGTTCCAACAGAAATCTACTTTAAAATGGCTGCTGTAGTTTCTTTTGCTCTGCAGCCCAGAGGAAGAAGCTGTTGTCCATCTTCAAACGTCCCAATTTCTCAATGCTGGAAAGCAGTTGCTCAGGAAACTTTTCATGTAGAAATATGATAACATATTTCATTTCCAGGAAGCACACATTCAAAAGCACAAGCACTCACATTTGCAGCCCTAACAAAGTCTTCACAGGCCTGTATAATCATACAAGACACACACACACACACACCCATACACACACACCTAACCCCTGACTCAACCAAAAAACGTTCATGTTCCTATTTCCCCAGTGCAGAGCTAAGGACAACAAAACCTCCGCGTGGCCGCAGAGCTATGCAGCTCAATTCAATAGACATTTGTTCCTGCACATCTGGACAAAAACTTAAACAAAAAATGGCATCCCCAGACATTGGAAAAATGTATTTGGAAGGAAATCCGCTGGGGTAGAAAGAAAGTGAGAGAGAAGAGGGGAAGGTAAAGGGGTCGCAAGGAACGAGGGTAGAAGACAGAGGTGAAGTCAAGAAAAAGTGGAAAGGAGGATTGCAGCTCCACCTGCTGGACATTTCATCAGGTTCATTTGTGCACCTCCTTCTCACTCACAGAGGACAGAGAACCAAAACAATGTCTACCATGCAATAAAACCAGACACAATAGCTACGCTAATTATTTCTGTGTTTGATGTTAAATCTCTTTTGTTAAAGTTGTGCCTCTTTTCCCACACCATGTTTCATTAATTTGCATGAAAAGAATCAAATATCTCCAGGCTGTCCGCATAGTCCAGTCCAGCCAGGGATCTTTGCTGCAAGTCATTCCCAATGTCTCTCTAATAAAGCCACAAAAGGGTATTAAACTGCATGAACCTTCTAATGAAAACAAATGCTTACCTTATACTTTCCCTGGTCGCAACCGCACAGCGTGCTCTCCATGGTGTAGCTGCGCTGCACTCCGATCTCTCTCCATACAACAACACGAGCTGTTGACTCTTTGGAGCGCTCCACAACAAAACTGCAGCTGGCCATGCTGAAGGCCGGGGCGATCTGGGACAGGATCTTAGGAAGCGCCTGAGACATACATAAAGCTGTTTAAGAGTTTTGACGGCTGTTATCCACCATGTTTGCAGTGCGTTGGTGGCCCCCGAGCGACTCGTCCACGTGAAAACTCGGGTCTAAAACGAGCATCTTTATAAGCTTACTGCTAGCTGAAAAATACTTTTTGCATTCCATAATGCAAAAAGAGAAACCACCTGACCAGCTTGATCTGTGGATGAGAATAAAACGTTTTTCCCCACTGCACAATGACATTCAAGGTCAATTATTAAAAGCAGCGTAATAAAAGTAATTTGTAGTTTGTCAAAAAGTTGAAACACATGTTATTGACTAAAATGATTTAAATTAAGTGAATGAAGGCAGGCATCCATTGCAACAACACAGAGGGATGAACCGGGAGCAAATGAATGTAATGCACAGGGTTGTTTTTCAGTCCATACACTATAATGTGCTGATTTACATAGAAGCTGCTCTGATACCTTAATAAAGGTGATGTCTTTGTGAATTCAATGCATTTATCATTCTGTGACTGGACAGTCATTTTGAAAACAGAGAGGAAGGTTGAGATAGCGGTGCTGCGAGAAGGAGGCATAGGATATATGTGTGTGTGTGTGTGTGTATGTGTGTGTGTGTGTATGTGCTCACTCTGTATCCAAGGTCCTCCTGTAAGTCACTGGACGTAGCGCTGATATTGGATTGCCAGACCGTCTCCTTCACGCTGCAGCCGTACATGAACACATTCTTCTTCCTGGAATGACCGTGGTAGTCGCAGAATACCTGTGCATTAATGTGGATGTGTACACACACACACACACACACCACAGTACACACAAAAAAAAAGGAGAAAAGGAGTAAGATATTTGTTCTCTATGTTTGAATAGCTATGCAACATAATGAGATAGAAAAAATACAAATCAACAGAGACTGATACAAAAGCTTAAATGAATTCACTTCATCGGTGTAAAATGCACACTGATACCTTGTTATAGGAGATTTAAATGTCATTAGTACTGCAGTGTTACTGCTCATATTTTCAAAAGACATTTTCTTATCTCATTCTCAGAGGATAAACTGTGGCCTCACCTTGCTTTGCCTTGTTAAGTCATCACCATTTGTACACTAAACAATTTTCCTATGAAAGCAACATGGCATTATATCCAACATGCTGACACACAGTGTACTACAGAGGGCCATGGAAGCTGCTGATTATGGGAGCTGCATTAATATCTCAAGACCAATGTGGTGATTTATTGATGTGGAATTTAGTAGACATGCAGAGCGTGCAGCTGAGCACCAGGAATGGCACCAACATTAATAAGTTGTTAGGAGAGGTATTTAAGCCCAGCTAATGAGAGGTCATACCAGCGGCGCCCTTTGTATGTGTGCAAGGTACTGCAGCAGGCTCTTAGTGTGGTAGATGGTGGGGTGGAGCTCAGGATTGGGGTTCTGCCACTGGCGATTCAAATCCTCTCCACTCAGAGAGCAACGATGACTGCAGCAGAAGAGAGAATACAGAGTGAAAGAGAACAGCTGGAGGATCCTTCAAGACGAGATAGTGTTCGTGTTAGCGTTGAATAAAGCTTCGAGCAACGTGCAGGCCCAGGCTCGGCAGGTGTATGCATCCTCAGTGTGTATACTTGAAATAAAGGAATGTGCGTTGATGTCTTCCCACCATTTTACTCACTTTCCATTTACAACTCCATCCGGGTTGAGCATGGGGACTATTTTGAAGATGTATGCCTCTCTCAGGCTGGCAGCCAGTGGGCTGGTGCCCATCAGGAACTCCAGCGTACCCTTCATTACCCAGCTAGCGTTGGTCTCTCCAGGGTGCACTCTGGCCGACAGGAAGATCAATGGACGATTCCCTGAAGAGGTAGAAATACGGAGAGTGCAGCACAAACTCAGGCACAAATAGAAGATTATGGGAAAGAGAAACCGATTCTTTCATTTCAGGTTGTCTCAGCTGAGAAGAAGTATCAGTGGATTACACTCGGCAGAAAACCGACTTAGGAACACTGGCATGCCCTGATACGCCGCAGGGCTGTTCTAATGTAGTAATATGCAATAGCAATGCAGTTAAATGTTCTTGCAAGGATTAGATTTTAATTATTGAAGCACTAGAAGGGAACATTTCCGTCAATTATTAGTGAATTTGTTAGAGGACATTTTGGGGAACTGTCGCTGAGCATGAGGGACCTTTAAGCAGAAATGATTTTGTTACTCCAATTTTCTAAAGAGATGACAATTAACTTTCATCATCAAAAATGAATAGATTAGACAACATAACAGCCATTAAATATTTAGACGTTATGGCCCATTTCCAATTGTTTTAGGACATCTGACAAAGACACATTTTGGACACCCACATCACTGATCAGGACTTTGATTTGATTTGAGTTATTTACCACATAGGATTTTAGGTCACTTGTGATAATCAACTCCGTATCAGAGAATTATGGGTACAAAACATTAATGGCTGGTGAAGAAATACAACTCTTCACAGATCTACGGTGATCTACTCACTGAACTGACAGATGTAATCATTAGAATTGGATTCCGGCATGGCAGTGATAGTGAGAAGGGGGCAGCTGTTTCCCCCCAAAGTTTGACAGAGGACATCCTGTCTCAGGTAGATCTGGGGGGTCCTCAAAGCCTCAAGTTTGGACAGGTGCATCTGAAAATACAGTAACATTATCAAACCTCAGTTGTACAGTAGCTTTAGGGCATAGTTGCTATCTATCCCAGTTTCTATGGGCAAATCAATAATACAAAGAAAACAACAGAGGTGACTATTGTGAGGCTGCGTTAGGGGGCCACGACAGGTTTAGCAGTACGTCTTTGTATGGAGCAAAACAATGTGGATAAGAGGGTGTGGGGGCTGTTTGTGCTCAGAGATATTTATACCACTAATGCTCGGGCTTTCTATAATACAGCAAACAGTGGAATTTCAATAATACCTTAAGAGTGGAGTAAGTATATGGGTAATGATAGGCAAAGTAGCAGACATCATCCTTATGGCTGAAGCTTGTGCTGAAGGTCATTGTATAATAGGACTTTCCTTTCTGACCCCCCGCTGCAATGGAGCTCCTCGCAAAGTGATTCCTAAGGAGAAGATGAGTCACGACTTAACGATGCACAACGATGCACACCGGTATCATCTACTGCAATTCACTACTACAGCTGTGCCATATATTCTGCAGTTCATGATGTTGCCCTATATTCTTTATACTGTCAACTTTCTGGTTCTGAGAAATTCAGAGAGGTGTAAAATTAAATTAATGTTAATTACTGAGGTAATAGTCAAAGGTGATGTAGTTGTGCACATTATATCAAGATCCGTTTGGAATATATATACATCACTAACACCTCTGTGACAACATCTAAAAACTAAAAAAAGGACAGTTGTATTGAATTGCAATAATTGACTGTTATGGATTCCCCAAAACACATAAACACATTAACACTCATAATAACGTATAAAGAAAGCAAAAGTAGTTAAGACTGCTCTATATGTGCATATGCTCTATATCTTACTTGTAATAACAGATGTCTGTTCCTGTTCTGACCCAGCGAGGCCTGCCACTGATCGCGTCCTGCACAGAGTACATTAGGACCTGCATGCCTACACACACACACACACACACACACACACACACACACACACACACACACACACACACACACACACACACACACACACACACACACACACACACACACACACACACGGTCTAGAATATGTGCTGTCTGATACTCAAGCCATCCCATAATGACTGAAATGTGTGTCAGCAATCAAAGAAACATGTGAATCTCCTGAAGGTCCGGTGGGAACGACAGGCTGATCTGCATCTCACCGTAGTTGAACTGGCTGTTGGACTTCTCAGAGTTGATGATGTTGAAGCGGTAGTTGGTTCCAACACGCATGCCGCTGACCTCAAAGTAGAACCACTGGTGATAGTGATTACTGTTGATGTCTGAATTCAGCACAAGGTCATACTCATATCTGGAGAAACACAACATCAACCATTAACAATACGGATCCCTGAAATATTTTGTTTGAAAACTAACTTCTATGAAATTGTTTAAAGTAGTTTAGAGGTTTGGTATAATAAACATTGAGCCCAGCTTGTAACTATTATAATAAAACTGCACATCAAATAGTGTACCTATTTCCAGGTGACTGATGTGACAATTAACACTTACTTCCTAATTTGAACTGCCTTCCTCAAGTTGCCAGACTCAAACTGAGAGTTGAACTTCAGTGACTCGCCATTGTCTTCGATCACAGGACAACTGAAACACAACAATATGTGAACATCAGATGGGGCTCTTTGCATTGTGAAGGTCTCAGCTCTCAACATTATTTTATAAAAAAGACAAACTGTAGCTTTTGTCGTAATTTGAGTCTAGCGAGCCTTGTGTCGTAGTTGCTTTATGTTTGCACCAAGGAGGACTCACCTGGGAATGTCCAAGTCGTAGACTACTTTATCCACGATATCATTGGGATGAATTAACCTCTCAATGTCCTGGAATATTTTGGACCTGCAGGATCAGAGCCAAAAGCGAGCTCACGATTAACACAATGTGTGGACAAATATGTGTTCTCTTGACAAATATTGTTCGATAACAAGACTAGTAGGAAATGCCTTTTCCCACTACCGTGACCTCACATACACAGGAAAGTGCAGCTCAAGTATAGACCAAAATGTTTATTTTAATTGCCGTTCAACCCCAGAATTTAAGCAAATGATTGCATTTAACTTTTTTTGTAAATGACAACTAGAAACGTACATACAAATCCTCTTGGCTTTGAAGAACCTCAAGTCTTATAACCTGTATACCCTGTTCCATTTGTATGTATTAACTATTTCCGCAAACCAGTGTTAATAAAAACGTCTCACCTCTGTACTCCATACACTCTCTCCTGAAGGGGTTCCTTGAATGTTGGGGCTATGTGGCCAAAGTAGTCGGGGTAAGCTACTTCAGCGTACTGCGGGACGGAGCGCGTTCCCTTCACCATCTCCACATAGAGGTCGGGGTCATGAAGCGGGAGGAGCAGCGCCGTGTCTGGAACCTCCAAAACTGCTCCTTCCCCTGCCTCGTCCTCGGCTCCCTCTGAGCCACAGTCCGAACCCCAGTTACTGCCGCCTCCTCCTCCTCCTCCCCCCACACGACGGGTAGCTATGCCCCCCAGGAGCAGTGGAGACTGTATGTGCCTCGTGGCATTGACAGGGGATCCTTCTTGTTTGCCTCCCCGTCCTACTTCCTCCCCTTTGTTTGGAGTATCCTCCGCCTCTAGAGAGACACACTCCAACAGGTGGGCGAGCTCCTGCTCTATCATCTGGGGTTGAGCCGGAGGCCTGGTGAGGGAGGACAGTGCTGCGTGCGCCTCCCCTTTTCTGTCTCGGTCCTTGGTGAGGAGGATGGTGTCCAGTTCTAGAGGCGTTAGTGGAGCAGTAGTGGGCACAGAGGGAGAGTGCACGGTGTGTTCTCCTTTAGTGAGGCTGCAGTCCTCCTGACAGCTCATTATGGGGACGTGCTTCGGGGAAAGGGCTTGTGCTGTTGGCACTATGATGGGCCGAGTGGATCGAGTTGAGGAGAAAGACGACGACGTGGTCGAGGAACTCTTTGACGGCTCAAAGTTATAACCCTGTGGGAATACACCAATTTAGTTATAATACATGTTGGTATGAATGTACCAACATGTCCTTCACATGACTGACCTGGAAGTCTTCAGAAAGCTCCAAGAAGAACCTCTCGTAGACCCTCAACTCCTCGAAAGGACGTCCGGGGTTGTTTTTGGGATGCAGCTTGTTTAGGTCCGTCTCTATGTCATCATTCTGATCACAAGAACACAAAGAGAGAAAAGACGTAGATGTAAAACTTTAATGTGTGCGGCCTTGATCTTTTTGGGCTATTGCTCGCGTATGTTGCTCTCTAGGAAATACTAGATGGGGAAAACAAGAGTGAAAAGAACTACAGCTACTGAGAAAATTACAAAAGAGACACTATGTTCTTTTTCTTTCTGATTTCTTTTGATCTTCAGTTTTAGATTGATTTTAGAGTGTTTTGGAATCGTGCCTTGCTGAACTTCTTAGTCACAATTGGTGTGCATATCAGAAATGATTGACGTAGATGTATGAGGGTTTTGTCTGGAGAGTCATGACTATCGCCTGTTGGAAAGTTCGAGCTCAAAAAGAAAACTGACTTAGACCTGAATGCTGCACTGTCTCGATAACAAATTAGATACTTTGAACGCATAAGTGCAACACATGTCACCATGTGAAAAATTGTGTGCGCATCCGAGTGCGGCATATTACCGCGGCGCCTTGATCCTTGTCGTCCTCTTCATTCTCAGTATCGTTCTCTGTGTCTGCGTCCGTCTCCTCGTTATCGTCACTTTCATCCACCACATCGTCCACTGAGTACACACATAGATTAACATTACGGCGGACTGCTATTAACTTGAGCAAGAAGGGACTTTTTCCAAAGAGTGTATCCGTCTACCAGGAAGGTAGAACTCACCGAGTGTAAGACAAGAAAAGCTCAAATGTAAAGCAAAAAAAAAAGATGTGAGCAGCCATGATTCAGATATAAGAGAGAGATTTAGAGGAAAGGAGAAAAGACAATGTAACGGCAGTAGATTGTTTGTTACTCCATGGTCGGGTTACTGACATAAGTGACATGTTTTTGGGAATGTAGAAGCGTCAACACAATGTAGCGCTAAGACTGAGCAATTACTGGGCTGCTGTTTCCTATTGGGGCTGTCGAAATTGTGGCGCATATCATTGTTTTATGGACCTGCTGTTTGACTTCACACTTTCCAGCAAATAAAATAAAATAGGAGGACATGTAGAGATTCTAAAGATCAATTAAGCACTGTCTACAAGTCGGATTTTGAAAGGACGTGTTTTATTTTAAATCAATTTAAGCCTGCAAAGCAACACACAAACGGTTTAGTAGAGTAATGGCCACCTGAGCTGACTCCGTCACTCTCTGCAACTTCCACTTAGCCAGTTGTACGTGACATGCATGTGGAGTTCCAGCGTAGGTGCCAACACACTTAGCCAATTGCCGCTTATTTGGCAGTTAAATTTGATAACGCCGGCGAGATACACAGCGCTGTCGCTGACACAAAGAGCCCACTCCTTCCCTCCCAGGTTAACACTGTTCGCTCTGTCACAGTTGTTTGCCCTATTTGTGGAGTTCCCACCGTTACAATTTAGCACCTGTTAAGAGGAACGCAAATGGGGTCAAATATTTAGTCAAAAAGCCTGTGGATAATGAGGCAAATGAATAGAGTACAGCACAAATGCATAAGACTACTAGTGGGCATGCAACCACTAAGCAATGTGCAATAAGCATCTTTATTGCATGTGTATCACAAACACATGTTATATGAAGTTAGAGCGTGACGTGATTGAGAAAGCAGGGGTGACTGAGTCTTTGTATTTGGAGGACGGGGTTGTTTCTTACGTATGTCTTACCCTTCTTTAAGGGCCTGTTGCAGAGCTGACGATTTTTTCTTCCTGTAAGGCACATTGTGTGCAGCGGGGTTGCAATTAACCATTTATGCGGTTAAGGGATGTGAGTAATATGTGTTTGTGTGTCTGTTGTCTGTTGTGTGCAGGACTGAAACCAGGAGCCATGACTGCACTAAATTAAATGTGTCTGTCTGGCATCATCTTCATTAGAAAGGCATGCACGTACACTGCGATGTGCTGGGGAACTCTCTAGTGAAGTGGTTGTGCGTGCGTCCTGTGTGCTCACCCCCAGGTGGCTGGCTGTACAGCTGCGCCACAGGCCCTGCAGCAGGTACGTGTGGCAGCTGGTAATGGAAGGCTGATTTGATGGTGGGCAGAGGCAGACGGTTCTTAGGAAAACACTTCCTCATGATGAGACTCGAAGTGTTGACAAGTGGATCCAGAGTCCGCACCGGGAGACACTCCTGGGAATGAAATCACACAGGAAGTAGAGAGTAGGCCAGATTGTGTGCGTGTGAGAGAGAGAGTGGGTGCAGCACGTGTTACGTGTTTTAATTGTTGGCCATGCTGTCGCATTCTCACTCACGGTGGATGAGTTGTAGAGGATCCTCATGCCGTCGGTGTCTATGAACGCTTTCCTGCCGAGCTTGATGTTGGTGATGTTCCTGAGGCAGACAAGCAGCCCTTTGCGTATCAGCATGTGGCGATGCCGAGCGTCATTGTGATGCCAGTCCTGGTACAGAGCCAGCAAGACATGCACATGTCCACCATCCACTGCACGGCGAGCATTCGTCTCTGAAGGGGAGGACGGGGGGGGGGCAGACAAAGAAAAGTGAACATGAGGGGGGCATGAGCTTTAAATCCATGTTGAATGATTATTCAGTGTGTTTGCTTTAGCAGGGTACAGAAAAACACAGTCGAGCACAAGCAGAGGGTCATTGACAGTGGAGGAGAGAAGGGCAAAAGGAAGCAGCACCAGTTAAGGATCACTCAATGCAAAAAAGAAAATGACTCACTGGATTTGAGGAGCGCTCCCAGGGCGTCCAGAGCTACCCTGTGGATTTAAAAACAAAGCGAATTACATACGGTTACACAGTCTGCTGAACAAATTTCAACGACCGATCAGAACTTTCTGGAAAAGACAAAAGCGTTGTGGCCTGTGGATGTCACTGGTCTGTCACAACACGGCATTCATGCCGGCTCATTACTTCAGCAGCGTGGTGTTCTTCTTGCTGTACGGCGCCACAATCTTGAACATGAGCTCAACCACTCCGTTCTTGCCCAGAGAAATAGCATTCACCGCTTCATGAAAACAAACACATGAAGAGGAGATAGCATTCAAAAGGTAGATATAGACATCAAATACCGCTGAAGCTTCATCAGTTGAATATTCTGTAGTATTTCTTGCCACTCATCTGATTGAACTTCAATAGAAAAAGACAATATTTTGAGCTGTGGATTTCAAAGTTAGAAATGACTTACAGTTGGTGGAGTAAACCCTGAGAACCTGCAGGCAGGGGAGAAGCAGCTTGGTATTCTGTAGGTTCTGTTTGGTTACGTTGACCGTGGCATTCAGCGCTCCGCTCAAACGCGCCTTCACTCCGAACTTTCTGTCTGCACACACACAATCATGCAGAGAATACATCACCACATTTGCACAGTGTGTCTGTGTTGTTTTCTTGAAAACACTAAATAATACGTCTAGAGAGCAATGTTTCCACGAGTTACCACGCCTTGCCTGTATTGTGCACACAGACGGACAAACATGCACGCAACTACACGGGCAGTCTGATTCACACGCTAGTCCGCTGATGACGCGCCAACCAATGCAGCAACAACAACAGAGGCAACAATGTAAACAATTATAAAAATTACTTTGCAAAAGGTTTGAGGAGAAAACTGTACTCAACATGTTTGTTAGATCTTACAATGTGTTTTGTCGAGAAGTACGTAACGTAAAAATAACTTTAGATGACGCGACGTATGAACAAAGACGCACAGGACAAGTGCAAAGTCAACAAATGTCCATCAATAAAACATTAGTGCCTGGCTAATATATATGGATGTATATTATAGTATGCAATCTGTGTTAAACTGTGATATCGAACCCACCTTTTGGACCAACCTTTGCAAGCAGTGAGTGAAGCTGCAGCATGAGTTCTTCACTTGGAGGCAACTCTTTACTTGCACTTATCAGAATCTGGAATAATATTCCTGTTCCTCCTTTAGACACAAATACGCTGACCCTGCGACCTCTGCCTGGAGACAGGAAACCCCAATAAAACAGCATTTGATGTGTAAAACAGAATTCATGATGAGATATAATAGTGGAGTGCCCCAAAAAAACTGTTTATGCTTTTAGAATATATTTACTATTTGCATGTACACCCAAAATGGAAATGGAAATCACTGTTAAATTGCCCACTAAATAATTGTTCAGCACGGAAGTAAATAAACTGTTCATAGATGTTGGGGGATCGGGGGGTCACTCTACTCACCCACAGTCAGCAGCTCACTGAGAATGTACAAAATATTCAGAGTGGTCTGAACATCCCTGGTGTTCTGTCAAAGCCATACAAGGACACTAGTTAAACAACATACAGGTGCATCTCCTGAATAACGGCAAAGTATGAAATTACCTCTTCAGACATTTTTATTTATTTTTTAATTCCCTCCTAGCTGTGCAGTCTTATATCAAATCAAACATGGACGTGTCCCCTGCACCGGGGCAGCTGTTCCTTCAAAGCCATTGATGCATATCTTACGTCTCTGCATGCAGTGTTTAAAGCAGTCTATTCTGATGTCTGTTGGTTTCTTAAAAGTGAGGGCACTACCCCTTCAAAAAAATGTCTGAGGTTTAGGAATCTGCATATTTGCTTTACTGTTATTTAAATGGGTTAATACCACCTTAACACAGTAAGTATGAAATTGCCACTGGCTGCTAGTTAGCTTAGTGTTGAAGTACTGAAGTTATGTTGAAAAGTGAGCTGACCTCCAGTGAGGCCAGAATGACCTCCATGCCACTGGAGCCTTTGGACATCACTTCTTTTCCGCTCTTCTCTGCAACACACAACAAAAGAAAACCGACTCAGAAATGTGAAGATAACCAGGTTCAGGCTTCTCACGCGAATATTGAAACGACCATTAAAGGAAAAAAGCCACAGCGTCACACGGGATTAACTTGACACATGTGACGACCACCGTCCTGCGTTCCTCTTAGCTACAAATATTCTACTTCATTAAATAATTGACAACACAATAAATGCCTTTGACCTGGGTCAAATAGTAGCTGAGACATGAGTTCTCCCTTTATCTAAACACTCCTAACACTCCACAGGAAGTGACACTTTCTATAAACCCACTTACCACACTTACACAACTATGTGCACATCTGAGCATGTGAACAAACACTGGCGCTCATTCACACACTTCAGTGACACACGCACTGTGACCTCTTGAAACATTCCTGTCGTACCAGACTTTTTAAAAGGTCTTCTAAATAAACTGGCATCTCAACCCTAAAATAAACAAATACACACACAAATATACAGACAAACACACATACAACATGGGACAAACACATACAAATAATAATCATGTATGATAATGGTTTAATCATTATGAAAATATGTGCTCGGATAAGAACTATTCATGAAGTAAAACAAAGGTAAAATCGATTGCCAGCTAATCGTGATCTGCACTATTACCTGTAGATGTTACCCATCAAGTAATTTAACCCAATACCCATCAATTATGTCCTTCTCAGTAACTGTAGATAACTGTCAGCCGTGGCTCGCTGCTCAAATTACTGCACATGAACTGAGGAGGTCGTAGACGTTGGACTGGTTGTGAAGTATTTAAATATTTAACATATTTGTTACAGAAATAAGTAATGTTATTGTAAAAAAACCATACACATCATTTAACGATTTTTAAGAGTCGGAGTCAAAATACCTAAAAACCTTTTCATCTTTCCGTACCGTACCTGGTGGGTCAGCGGAGAATCTCCATTTCATTACAAAAGGTCTCAAAGTACACCAAAGCTGCGGGTGAAAAGATGGTTCACTGCCTCGGGGGTTCCACCATTTCTCTATCCATCTAAGGATGGAGGTAAACTGCTCCTCTGCAACCGCACCAACAGCACTGAGCTTAGGGAAAGGACGCTGTGAACAGGGTAATCAGCACCTCCCCCTCCCGGAAACTCAACCTCCTACAGGAAGATGACATCGCTATAGGATACCTGTACTCGTGTGTAGCCACGCCCCCCCACCCCCTCCCCAAATAAAAACAATACTTTACATTAATTGAATATTTATTTGTATCAGATGTAGGAGTTTTAAGACGACCCAACTCTCAACTCCTGGCTTTCCCTTCACCATATCATCTTTGTTGTTTCTCTTGGTATCACTTGCATGAGGCAACAGTACAGCAAAGCCTTTTTTGAGGTGTATAGTTACTGTGAAGAGGGTCACCCCCCCCCCTCCTGCCCCCTGACATCGTCACGCTGGTGCAGTCAGGAGATGAGAGAGGAACAGCTGAGGTCTCGTAGCAGACGGTGTCACAGACAGAAGCTTTGCCCCTCCATCCAAAAGTCGTGATGGATTAACTGCGGTACAAATTGACTTGGGAATTGGGGAGGAAGGAAGTAATGGAAAAATATGGAATTTTCGCAGTTATCTTCAACAGTTCCAATCTATACTATTGTGGCACACTTTTCTTAACCTATTGTTAAGGAATGGCTGCAATCAATCAGTAATCAACTTTTAAAATTACTGATTAATCTGTCTACTGATTTTTTTTCAGTTCCCTGAATAATCATTTAGTCTACTGATGTCCCAAAGTAGTAAAAAATGCACATGCCCATTTCCAAGAGCTGAACGGTTTGTTTTGTACAACCAACAGAAATATAAAAAGATGTTGATTTTACAATGCAATCAAATTGATGCTAATCCCATGTGATTCGTTGTAAATTGGCACGTTTGCTTGATAAATGCCAATTATCCCTACTGTTCGAATTCATGTCAGTTTGAAAAACGCCGCATGAATGAAGTATTAGTTAAAGAGCTCGAGCAATAATGCTCGCATCAGAGATTCTTCTGATTCTTCCTCCTTAGAGTGACGGAGAGGCATCCTGCTAAGCATCCGGCACTGAGCCTTCTCCTTCTTCTCTACTCTCCTTTCAAAGGAGTAATCAAAGAACCAGAGTTAACAATCCAAGCACACTTTGACTACTGGTGCACCAACCCATCTCTGGTTACCCAAAAGTGAACACATTGATGACTGGAAACGCACAATACAGCGCATAGCTCCTCCAGGTGCGCCTCCCTCTCCACTCCCAAACTAAGAAACGTTGAATCTCACTCAATTGTTACTTCCAGCTCCCTTTATAGCAATTTACTCATTTTGTATTGTGTTTAACTGTAGTGGATCATAATATATTTGGTATGCAATTAATTGACAGAAGCTCCAGTACACAATGAGACCACGTTTTTTTTCTGTGGATGTCGTTTTTTGAGCCACAAATGTTGGCAGGAAAATACATAATAAGGCTTATTTTTTGGCAAGCCAATTGCTGTGAATTTTGCTAATGAAGCAGTTGATCCCTTGTGACCCCCTACTGGCCAAATAACAGGAGTGAAGAGTCAGTCGTCAATGGCAGTCAATAAAACGTTTTTAAAATGATCTCTCGTTAAGTGTGAATTGCTCTCACCCTGTGTCTGTATGAGATGAAATATCTTTGCAGTGACCTGTCTCGCTGTTTCGACATCCCTCATCATGGCTTCTCCATTCATCCTCTCTAGTTGGCCCAGGAGCATCAGAACTTTGGAGTTACTGGGAACGCTGGAAACACAGAAACATTTTTACCACATGTGTTAGGAACATATCTAGCAGACAACCTATTGAGAAGTAAACTCCTGTAGAAAGAAAACTTAAAAATATATACATTATTGATCTAGAAAGGAGATATATCAGCGTAAGCATCACACGCTGCATCATGATGATACATTTACACGCATGTGGATGCTTTAATACATAAGCATGTGCCTAAAGGAAATAAATCTGCAATGAGTTTCTGCTCTATGCCAAGGATCAGAAGGATTAGAATGATGGACCAGTTTCCCTTCATCCAGCACCGAGTGGCACTGGAGAACCAACATAAAGCAGCCCATGAAATGTGTAAATGCTCTTATTTTACCACAGTGAGTCAAATGTCTTTGCCAAAATATTAAAAATAACCCTTTATGGAATATAATGTAACAGCAAAACAAACACAAGCAAGCCATGTTTATTTACAAATTGAAGATCTGTAACTGCACACAATTATTTAATTAATTTTACTGAAGACGAGTGGTTTCTGGGATAGTGACCCATCCCCCATTTATAATCTTAGCTCAGTGCCGCTCAGCTGGATACACAAGGTCAAAGGTCCGATGTTGGTGCAGCAACAGCAAACATGGGAAAGAAATCCAAACTCTGATACTGTACCCAGTGGACCAGAGTTTTTGATATGTCCTTATTAAGACACAGAGACAGACTGTGTGTGTGTGTGTGCATGTATGTGGGTGTCTGTTGGAGAAAAAGTAGAAAGAAAAGGGGAAATAATGAATAAAGAATTGTGTAACTCTGGACGAAGGAAAACCTACTGAAGCAGAAGTCATGACGAAATAAACACACTGCAAAATTCACAATTGACAAATGAATAGACAGACAAAAAAATGAACAAATCTATATTTATTAGGGCTGGGCACGTTAACGCCTAATGAATATGTTATGTAGTGATCCATTAATGCAGACAATGATTTGAACAGCATTTCTTTTATTTCTGAGCATTGAGAGGGGCTTAACACCGCTGCACACATATACTGAGAAAATGGAGAAAGGTACTGAACTTTAAAATGGACATTTTCACTTGAAATCTACCAGACGGAGTAGGTGTAACCATTGTAAACCGGACGTATCTGATCATCGGAGTAGTACGAGCGAGAGCTTTTTCCCAAAAGCTACTTCTGCTAACATTACTTTAAAATAAAAGCATGCAATACACATATACAGTTTTAATGTATTATTGAATTTGGCGCATAATGGAATTGAATAATGAAGTTCATTTTCTTCATCTTTGCCCAGCACTAATATTTACACTTCATCAGTGAAAATCTTTTTGTCTATGTAAATGAATGTGTTTGTCTTCAGGAATCAGGAAACGTTTATTACCAAAATATGTCAGACATACAAGGAATCTGACTTGGCGATTTGTGCATAGCAGCAGACAGTTAGACAATGGACAACAAGACAGATAAGACAACATAGTGCAAGAGGAATAAAATAAAATACAATGTTGTGGATTAGTATATAAGACTATGTGTTAGTTTTAAAATAAAGGAATAAAGTTTAAAAAAAGTTCAAATGTTCAAATGGCAGAGCAACTCACCCCTTCTCTGTGGCCATTTTGGGTTTGTTCATTTTTACCACTTCAACATTTCACGTCATCTGCAGGAGAAAAAAAATAAAGACTTTGCTAACAAAACAAAAAAAGGACAAGCATGCATTTTAGAATAGAGCACGATAAACCTTTGCCCATTGCGCCAAAAGAGATTCCAGTGAAATCCCTGCGCTGTAATCTCAGGCTTTAGCCCATCCTGCAACTATGCAACAAAAAAAAGAAAACAGACGGCAATCACGCTAAACTTTGTACTGTAGCTGTGAATGTGATGAACTGCACATACAAGTTAGCCCTGTGAACAACTGGTGAAAACGTCCAGGGTGTGCTGGGAATACCCACAGCAGCAGCGGGACGGCTCACATTGGCTTACTATCAGATGTACAGGACCGGCTGACTGATTTTACACTAAACAAAGAGGCCGCCCCACATGCTGCATATCTCAAATGTCTGGAGACAACAGCACCACAGATAAGGTCAGGTGAACACAAAAAAAAAGGAATACAGCACCAACATTCAGCTGCAATGCATAATAAAAATGCGTTATTCAGCGGAAATGGGAGTAAATGAATACAGCAATGGTACAATGACTTTCCAGAGGTCTCTCTAAATTACATTTAAACAGTAAATACAATGGCATGTAAGATAAGATAAGCCATAAATAATGCTGCCGTAAAGGTAAAGCCATTATTATTATTACACGGTCTTAACAATGTTAGGTGTGCCAACATGACACATTACATTTTGTAATAAATTTTGTTTTGTAATAAACACACAATTGCTAGAAAAAGGACCGGTTGAATGATTTTTTTTAAATAAAAAAATAAAGAAACGTATAACTAGGCGGGCTGACCTAAATTCAGGCAAGTCAGGCTTTCCCAAAACTTACAGAGCAGGAATGCAAACGAGACACGGGACATTTACACACGAGCACACCGGAGGAGGCTCCTCGGGTCATAAAGAGACTCGTGCGTTGTGGATAATCTATTTCAAGCTCTCTACAAGGCAGTTGTTAAACTGACACGTTTTGGAGGCCGGCGAACGCGGGACAGATGGTGGCCTGTCCACAGCAACTCCCGACGGGACATGTCTCCTTCCACCAAGCAGCATCCGAAATCCACCCATAAAACACGCGGCTGTCAAAAGCCCACGAGGACATTTGGGTCGGTCACACGGCGGGGCAAGGCTGTTTTAAAGGATGCTAAGTTAGATAACCTAGCTGGGACTCGAGAGGCTGCTCTCCGCTGCACCTGCTGCACTAGTCACTCAATAGCGGCCGCCCGACCGCTGCAGCGGACAAGCTAACGGAGGAATATGCTAACAATAAAGCGCGCACGGGCGACATTAGCCAACGATAAACATGCATAAGACTAACAACAACGAGGGCTATACGAACCTATCTTGAATTGAATTGCTGTTCCATACAGGGTGGACCAAGACCGAGATAAGGGGGGGCAGCCTACTGTTCGCCGGAGCGTTGTCTGTAACGCCCTGATGATGTTGTGATGAGACTAGTCCCAACTGTCAGACGAGCCGTCGGCGGGCAACGCGAGATCACGCTTCTCTGCGTGGTTTTAGGTTGTTATGAGTTAGGAGGAGAAGGAAATGTCACCTTATGGGCCAAATGCCTCATTACCTTTACCGATATATACATTGTGTGTGTGGTGTTGTACTAAGACTGGGTGGGTTTTAAGCTATGAATGTTCATTGAGGGCTTGAGCTCCATCGTGACGTATGAGGACTACATTTCCCTTGTTGACGCAGACCTATGACGTCGATTCTGTGCGCCGAGTTTCACAGTCGTTCAAGAGACCTTTATTAGCTACATGGTTAATACATCACATTAAGGTACGTGCACATTTAAAAGGAAAACGTGGATTAATAATAGCAGTGGCAGTTTTGTTTAGACGATACTCAAGCTTTGCTGGTAGGAAACGTCCACTATGGGCAACATTAGCTTGCTAGCATACGGTATTACAAGCTACTTTTACGTTGGTGATAGTTAGCAGACATGTCCCGTGTCTCTTAACGTTACGTCTTTTGATACCGTGCATAAGTAACCTGAAATTAATTTTTGTAACGTAGGTTGGATTTTAAACGTCACAGATTTAGATTAGTCGTTACCCATATGTACATGATGGAGCCAAAGTAGGTCAATACGCTGACACGCTGGGTAACGTTTGTCATGTTAGCTACATTGATTTAGTTGTTTTCTTCTCTCAACCCTGACTGAGGGGAATCCATCACTATATTTATTTGCTCTTTTGATCAGATTGAATCAACTTCAGTGTGTCCATGAGACACACAAATCACGGCTGCCACTGTTGCCTCTATTCTCATTAAAACATCCATAGAAATCTACTTCCACATTTCTTATAAATGTGCTTAACTATTCCATAATTAATCATTCAGATACAAGAGTGTTTCTCTATCAAACTCCCATCACAGCACTGACATAAAAGGCTGAGACTTTCCAGTGCGCTCAGGCGTAACATTTACTCCTTTTTAGGTACTAATTCAAAAGCCAGTTCAGAGTTTGATGTTAATCCTCTTCCTTTGCCTGAAATAATAACCTTACGTTCACCTCCACAGAGGTCGATGTTCTTAAGAACACACCATAACGTGTAGGTTGACAATGGGAGGTCCAAGCGCTTGAACAGTGACTCTCAGTGAATGTTGTGTTGACGCGATTTGCTTTGCAGTCGCACGCCAAATCTCTCCCCTCCGGGTTGAATGGATTCTTGTGACTTACGTCTTACGTTTTGTAACATTTTCAACAATTTCTCCTTTTTCACTTGGTGTTTCTCTTCAGCAGACACCATGGTGATGAAGTCGGCAGTTGATGAAGATGATGCTGGCTGGGGACTGGGCATCCCAGAAAAGATGAAGAACAATGCCAACTGGGTTGATATCACGCATGAATTTAAGGGTGCATGCAAAGGTACGGGCTGTGCACGTGGCTGCGCGTGTGGGTCCTATGTGTGCAGTTACAAAAGTACTGACGTGTTCCTTCTTTTCTCTTTCCTTGTCCTCGTCCTTGATTCATGCAGAGCTGAACCTTGGAGAGTTGCTTCATGACAAACTGTGAGTAGAACGAAGGGGACAAAAAATATTGGTTTTCTTTTTGCATGAACGTGTCCGGATTTAGCAATAGAGGTATCTGCATCTGCTATTCGATCAGTTGGATTTGTTGAACCTTTATAAAGGCGCATACAACTCCGACATCAATCGTTCTGCTGTGTTGGCAGGTTTGGCCTATTTGAGGCCATGTCCGCCATAGAGATGATGGATCCTAAGATGGATGCAGGAATGATTGGAAACCAGGTCAACCGGAAAGTACTCAACTTTGAACAAGCTATCAAGGTACAGTAGCGCTGCCGTACAATGAAAATAGTCAATTCTTTGGAGTTGAGGCTCTGCCTACTTTCCTTAATTTAAATGTACAACTCTGAGTGCATTTACTTTTTGTTGTGTGTATATATAACATATGTGAAATGAACTACATCATTTGTATTACCTTATTGTTTTAGGAAGGTGCCATTAAAGTGAAAGACCTTAGTCTTCCTGAACTAATTGGGATCATAGACACAAGTTTCTGCTGTTTGGTGAGTTATCACTTTCTTATACTGTAAATGTTTTGTGAGCGCTACGAATACAGAGGTTTGCATTTTAGTGGCATATTTTCTCTTCTCAGTAGGCCCCCTCCATAGTGAAATGATTAAACAGTGGGGAGTTATTCTGTTGCTAAAGATCACTGGTCAAAGATTTTCTGCAATGTCTTTAATTTGGAGAGAAGTGCAGACAGACAGGTCTCTTGCAAAGCAAGTCACAGACGATTTGAGATGTTTTTCATTTTACAAGAAAATTTAAAAAATGTACATTATAGGTTATAAATGGCTTGCCAACATGTAATGTAAATGTAACTATTTTTAAATTAACTAACAATACAAAATATAAAAAAGTATTAACGGTGTTCCCATTGAATTTTATAACAACTCAACAGTCACATTTGTGTCTTTGTGTTTATTCCTAGATCACATGGCTGGAGGGCCACTCCTTGGCGCAGACTGTGTTTACCTGTCTGTACGTCCATAACCCCGACCTGATTGAAGAGCCAGCACTTAAAGCCTTTGCTCTGGGCATCCTGAAGGTGTGTGACATCGCCCGAGAGAAAGTGAACAAGGCTGCTGTGTTCGAGGAGGTAAGCAACTTGGTGTTTCTGCTCTACCTACCGGCATTTAATGTAAATAATTATTTTAGTTGACACTACAATTGGCCGTTCATGACTCGGGGTCCTGTGTACATGTGGAAATGCTGATTTTCTGCATATTTTGCCTGTAGGAGGATTTCCAGGCCATGACCTACGGCTTCAAGATGGCCAATAACGTCACAGACCTGCGGGTGACCGGTACAGTATTGTGATAAATCATTGAGAATGTACTGACCACATGCTGAGTAATACTGTTGCCTCAGAGAAACAAAGCTGAGGTAATCTCATTTGGTCTCCCTACCAGGAATGCTGAAAGACGTGGAGGATGAGTTACAGAGGAAAGTTAAGGTATTTGTTCTTTGTTGAAGCCAAAGTCTTTAAATACAACCCGGCTCATAGGAAGGCAGAGAATAAAACTGATTTTCTCGGCCACTTCCTCAGAGCACGCGGATTCGACAGGGAGAGCAGCGAGACCCGGAGGTGGAGCTGGAGGTACGTCGGTTCATTCCTCCTTGTTGATGGAGTTTTGTTAGAGGCATGTTAGCATTTAGATCATCTGAGATAAAAAAAGCACTAGTTGCTTCTAATGAATGTGATACCATTTCAACAACAAAATACACCTCAAAGAAGACCATCAGTGGTTTTTATTAACTTAGTGAGAATTCTAATCTCTGGCGCCTCTAGCCTTTCTAACTCTAATATTACAGGAATGATAACAATGGAGGAAAGAAGAAATATGCCCAAAAATGGGCCTTGTCTGGTTTGTTCATTATTTATTGTGCTTTGTATCGGGCTTGAAAGAAAATGTAATATTAGCTTTGCAGTTACACATGATCCTGAAATGTCTCATACTTATTTTCCCAGCATCAGCAGTTTCTGGCACTTTTCAACAGAATCAAGTTCACACGCCTTCTTCTGACTGCCCTGATCACCTTCACCAAGAAAGAGGTAGAGGATGCACACAGAATGGGCCGAGTAATGAGATGACAACTACCACGTGCATTGAAAAATGTTCTTCTGCTTACAACGAGCGGCGAAGAGGTTTGTGCTAATGATAATTCTCTTTATCAGACCAGCTCGGTGGGCGAGGCCCAGAAGCTCGTGGTTCAGGCTGCTGACCTCTTATCAGCAATTCAAAGCAGCATTCAGCACGGCATCCAGTCCCAGAATGACACCACTAAAGGAGGTAACATACACACTCTTAGAAACTCACAAACTGGGTTTAGCATTCAGGTTTTTGAATGCACTTTACTCGTGCCCATGCAATACATGTTATATTCCTAAAAACACCTCAAAAACAAAAACCAATAACAACAAAGGCTGATGGCTAAGTCATTTTCCACTGTTTGTAATGCTCATTTTCACTTCAGCTCATAAATGTTGCCCTGCATCATTTTCTCTTGTGTGGCACTGAGCTTGTTAAACTTTGAATAGATGAGAAGGAAGTGAGATGGCTCAATCCGTAGCTGCTTCATTCAGCAGCTCTGGAAAAAAAAAATGTGTTGTATTCTTTTTTCTTAGCACTTGCTAGAGTGCATTTAAGAAAATCTATTGGCAGAAATGAATCCTAGTCTTAATCAAAGTCTGTACACGGCTATAACAAGTCTGTGGAAGGTGCTTTAGCCGCCTCACAGGGAAGAGGACTTGATGCCTGACCTCTGTTAACCTTTTGTGTTCTTCCTTTCCTGTTAATGCGGCAGACCACCCCATCATGATGGGCTTTGAGCCCCTGGTAAACCAGAGACTGCTGCCCCCGACCTTTCCTCGCTACGCCAAGATCATCAAGAGGGAGGACATGGTGGCTTACTTCAGCAAACTTATAGAACGCGTCAAGACGGTCTGTGACGTGATCAACACCACCAACCTGCACGGCATACTGGTAAACGCATTCCCACATCTTACCTAACCAGTAACCTTCAACAACTTCTGCCCTCGTCTGTGTTTGTTGGATTGCATACTTCCTATCAGACATTTATTTAGGTGGTCATCACCCCGCACATACACGTGTGTTCTACAACATGAACAGGTACATGCGTCTGATGCTTATGTGTTTTATTTTTCAGGACTTCTTCTGTGAGTTCAGCGAGCAGTCTCCCTGTGTGCTCTCCAGATCTCTACTCCAGGTGAGCTCGTCACACCATTTTGATTTAGCTTTTTCTCCTCTTGACGCCTACAGCCTATAGGCGGTAACAACGAATGAACCGACTTTAGGCAATCTCGTAAGCGTGTCAGTTTAACATCAGCTGTACAAGAATTCAAGGGATTGTTTTCCCAAATCCAGACAACGTTCCTGATCGATAATAAGAAGGTGTTTGGGACCCACCTGATGCAGGACATGATTAAAGATGCCCTGAGATACTTTGTCAGCCCACCGGTCCTCTCCTACAAGTAAGTCTCTCCACAAACCCCAAACAAGAGACTCCTTTAAATGCTCTTCACTTTTTCAAATTGATTGATTGAATTGATTTAAAGGGTGTGTTTTTGCAGTGTGTGTGCGCAACTATGAGACGCAGACTCTCTTGAGTGAGCTCATTGTGTCTCGATGAGCCGTGTCCAGCTCATTCTGTGTGTGTGTGTGTGTGTGTGTGTGTGTGCGCGCGCTTCTGTCTCTTCAGGTGTTGTCTTCTCAACAACCACCAGGCAAAGGATTACATTGACTCCTTTGTTACGCACTGCTCCAGGGTACGTTACCTTTACTGCTCAAAGTTAAAGTCTCAAGCTTTAATATTCCTTCCATAAGAGAGTTTAATGAGAGCCGTGGCATCAAGCGATATTTAATGGTGACAGGACATATTTAATATTTATTTATCTTTGTGTCTTGTCAATTCTTCCTGCAGCCATTCTGCAGTCTGATCCAGATCCACGGACACAACCGAGCTCGCCAGAGAGACAAGCTGGGTCACATTCTTGAAGAGTTTGCCACACTGCAGGACGAGGTGAAGCACAGCTGTTTCCACCGTCATATTGCTCTGTTCTTTTTTTCTTTTTTACAATTAAAATAAATAAATAAATAAAAGATCACTGTTTTTGCATTTTTGCCCCAGATGCGTTAGGCTGAGGTATGACGCCTGCTCCGAGAGGACATGTGTTGTTTTATAATTCATAAGCCCACTGCTAAATGGTTCTTTGGTTCTCTGCAGGCAGAGAAGGTTGACGCAGCCCTGCATAGTTTGCTGATGAAATTTGAGCCCCAGCGACAACATCTAGCCTGTCTCGGCACCTGGATCCTCTACCACAACCTGAGGATCATGATCCAATACCTGCTGAGCGGCTTTGAACTAGAGCTGTACAGCATGCATGAGTACTACTACATCTACTGGTGAGTAGTGCGCACACACACACACACACACACACACAATCTGTTGTTAACTCTGTGTGCACAGCTGCACTTTTAATCATCACCTGTTTTTTCTCCGCCCACAGGTACCTGTCCGAGTTCCTCTACGCGTGGCTGATGTCCACCCTGAGCAGAGCCGACTCCTCCCAGATGGCAGAGGAGCGGATCATGGAGGAGCAGGTGAAAGGACGCAGCAGCAAAAAGACCAAGAAGAAGAAAAAAGGTGCGCTGCGTGGTCGCCTCCGAGGCTGAATGTGGAGGTGAGTAGTTGCTCGTCCTAATAGTGATTCTGGGTTTTACCTGCAGTTCGGCCTCTCAGCAAGGAGATCACTATGAGCCAAGCGTACCAGAACATGTGTGCTGGCATGTACAAGGTACGGAGCTACTTTTGACCCCGCTCCTCTCCTATTGGGCGCTCACTGCTGTGGTCTCAACCCCCGCGTGTCTCTCCTCAGACTATGGTCGCTCTGGATATGGACGGGAAGGTGCGTAAGCCTCAGTTCGAGTTGGACAGCGAGCAGGTTCGCTACGAGCATCGCTTCGCCCCCTTCAACAGCGTGGTGACCCCGCCACCTGTGCACTACATCCAGTTCAAGGTACTGTCGATGTGGACCGAACATTATTTTTGTGCTTTCTCCAACTCTCTCTTTATTTGCCGGCCTTTTCCTTATCTCATTCCCTTCTCCTTTCCATTTCAAAATAGTTTCCTTTTTTTGCCCTTTTGTTGGCTTTCCCTGCCCTCTCTGACTTTGCCCTTCTTGCCCTCTGCAGGAGATGTCCGATCTAAAGAAGTACAATCCCCCACCCGGCTCCGCTGACCTGTACATGGCCGCCAGCAAACACTTCCAGCAGGCGAAGGTCATCCTAGAAAATGTACCTACCCTAGATCCTGAGGTAAGGACAGCTCTTCCTACTGTGAAGGGAAATGTATATTTTTCTATTTCCTTTTTCTCCAGCTTGAAAAATCTACTCTTTAAAATATTTTGTCATCTAGACCAGTGGTCCCCAACCACCGGTCCGTGGGCCGTTATTCCCCACGCGTCACCAGGCGTTGACATGAAAACGGTCCGTGAGGTAATAAAGGTTGGGGACCACTGATCTAGACCGTTGCTACTTTTTGGTAAATCGGTTAAAATGTCATGATTCAAAACCATAGCCTATTTTTTTTTGGGTCAATGTTTTCTCTGTCTGACCTTATTGAAATGGTTTGTCTGCACTCTAGTTTTGACCTTTTCTCAACTATGAATATCATTTTAATGACTAATAACAGGTGAACCGTATACTGAAGGTGGCCAAACCCAACATCGTAGTCACAAAGCTCCTCGCCGGAGGCCACAAGAAGGACACCAAGGTAACACGATTAAAACATGGCTCAGCGCCATTCGATGACCATGATTTTATGGGTTTATGTTTAACTTAGTTAACGCACCATGTTGGCAACATTCTTGACTGAATGAATTTTCCTGCATCCCGTAGGTTCTCCCGGAGTTTGACTTCTCCGCTCACAAGTACTTTCCTGTGGTCAAGATAATCTGATTATTACGTCATCACGAACGCCGCCATCAGCGAAAACCACACCCTCAAGTGTGCAGTGACCCTCACGCGCTCTGCATCTGAACTGTGTGTGTGTGTGTGTGTGTGTGTGAGATACAGCTAACTGTTGTGTAAAGGAGTGTTTGATACACCTGTTTTTTTTTTTTCACCCGGACCGGGAGACAAAATCGAACCAGAGAACTCTCACCTGAACCTAAATGACTGCCAATGTCCACATCTGGATCTGTGAAAATCTGTGTTCATCTGCGTGTGTGTACGTGTGTGTGTTTTTGTGTTCATCACGAGGTGCTTTTGCTTTGTTAAGGTTTTAAAAGAAGAGCTTGCATATCATTCAATCGTATAAAACCTTTGTATGTATTTATGTGCTTATTTGAATGAAAATTTAAATCTTGGGAAGACTACAGTATCTTGTTTGACTTTCATCTGCATCTGTCAATTGTGAAACCTAAGCAGGACAATCTGCAGAGAAGTACCTCACAGTGTGAATTATCTTCTTGGTGCACAGCGATGTTGTAACACAGCGATGATATCCAAAATACACAATCAACAGCAGTGATACTTTTCGGGTCAAAAGGCAGTTTCTTCCTCAAACCAAATTTCCACTTCACCAGCAACCGCCACACACACATACTTCTCTTTACTTATTCTGTCCTTTTTAATGACTTAATCCAAGTGTAACTCGGTCAGTAAAAGTGTCTCCCAGTCTTTTATGACATGTAGATTAGCGTAACGTAGACGTAAGATTGGTATCCAGTATATTCACATTATCAAGAGCAACATCCGCATTCACACAGTCTTTTCTTTCTGGCCACCTGAAGAATAGAAGTCCAGTATTCACTCTGCTCTGATTCAGAGTGCACCAACTCCTCTGGGATACATCAGTCTCTTTCGGTGCTAAAGGTTCACAAGCATCTTGTCTGTATCTTCTGAATTGGTATAACATTCATCGTGTGATGTTTTCATCACACATGCTGGTTACATCAACAATAAATCGCACATGAAACCATTACTTGATAGTGGTAATAAAACGTGTTTTATTCTCTATCATCAACAAAACCTACAATCATTTAATTTTTACATATTTGCTCCACAGTGTAGAATAAAATCAAAATGAAGTTAATCGGATTTATAAATATCAAACTATGGTACACGGACACATGAAAAGTTAACCCTTACATAAAATGACAATAGAAATCTACAACCACATTTGTCCTGACAGATTTACCAAAGAGGAGACAAAAAAGCAGACAAGACACTTTAACATTAAAGACTTTGAGCTTTGTAAGTTAAAACAAAAGTGCTGATGTGCAACAGGGTTTCCATTAGTCATCAGCACTCCAATCCTGTGTTTGTATCGTTTCTTGAGAAACATAATGGCTATGACCCAAAAAAGAATTAATTGATATTACATATTACAACAAACAAAAATAAGTAAAACAAAATTGACACAACTTCAGGTGTGACATTATCATTGGAATTTGAGATGTTACGGACGCTTGCTGGAAAATGTTTGTAATCTTAAAGCACCTTTTTAATCTGATAACTCTTTGTGGGGTTCAAGGGTTCAAGCACTCAACAATGTTCAATATATATTCTGTATTTGCATCTTGAAGCTAAAATGTCATTAATAAAATGAACCCAAAGTAAGATTATTTTCAATTGTGAAACAAAGCGGTTAAGCAGCTTCTGCCTCAGCTTTTGACCGGTGGTGGTAAAGAAGTTGTAACAAGTACACGATCCAGGGATAAACTGTTGATGATACGTCAAAGCATTATGGAAATAACAACCAAAGCATGTACCACGCCTCCACAATCCACCTCCAGTGTATGGAAGCAGCTGACCGGAGGTGTACACACAATCCATAAGGCATAATAAATGAGATGTTTGATTAACTAGCATCCTTGAGGAGATCCAAACTATTCCTCTCATTATAATCTACAACTGTTCTAATCTTTTACTGTTCTACATTCAACATTGTAAAAAAAGCTACTAAACCAGTAAAATGCCCACTAAATCCAACAAAGTGACGCTTCAGAAAAATTTCTCATGGATCGACATTATATATATATATATATATATATCATATAATTCGGAAAGGAAACTACTCTTGTTTGATGGCATGTCTATGAAGCTCAACTTTAGTTTTCACAGCATTTATGGCTAGATAGAATTCAAAAGAAGCTTCTGTTTTCATTTCATTCTGTTTGACGGGGTTTAGTGTGGCTGTTACGGTTTAGATGACACGGTTGGACAGCTTACAAAATAGTTTCCGCACAACGCCTGTTGCTGAAGCCCTTACAAACATGGACGCCGGGTGAAAGTCAGTGTCCTTTCTATGAGCGACTGTGTGCAGGAGGAACTGAAGGCGTTGCTTAGATACCGTTGAGCCTGTAATGCAGTTCTTTCATTGGGAGCCCTTATTACAGCAATACAAACCAAAAAGCCTCACTTATATTTCATAATTCAAGATAGTCTTCGAAAAACAACACATCTAGTCACATGATCAAAACCAACTGATTGTTAGCATGTTGACATGTTCATTTTTGTGAGCCAACTGGTGTCAAGTCTTGAGATGCTTGAAGTATGTGATGGTAATTTAACAGCTAATAATATTAGATTTTTAATTATAAAACCTAAACATACTAAATGAGTGTGAGCACAGTCACCACCACAAAAGCACTGTGGGGGTTAATGTACACAGTGAAATGTATTTCAATGAACAACGTGAATGTTCACGGTTGGCTCACATTTGCATATTTCAGTCTTTTTTTTTGGTGGCCCTTTCAGACAATTGTGAGATGAACACGGAGCAGTAACTATTCTTGCTCTAATACAGAGAACATTCAATCAAATCCAATGCACGGAAATCAATAAAGATTATAAATGTATTTCCAGGAGGTAAACTTCTGGAATCAAATGTAACAAGTCTTAACATCTGGGTTCACGGTGTTTGGAGGGCTGCATTGACCTGAAGTTGTGCTTCCTCATGTGGTAAGCAGGCTCCTTGTCCACCTCAGCAGGCCCTGCATGAAAAAACAAATGTATGTTAATACACAAGCATACTTGTGTTTATATTTTATATTAATATAGCTGCAGAGTGTCTACAGCAAGCTAACAATAGAACTGGCAAAATATCGAATGAACTCTTTCTGTTCGTGCCAACAAAACTTAACCGATGCCGAAAAGTAAAAGCTGCAATATGGATATAGTCAGCTGGACTGGAAAATATGAAACCAGATTATTTACTGATAACAGTTAAATCTTGTACTCGCTTTATGGACATCGGGTTGATCTTTGCACAAACAAATCTCGCAGAAAGTTTGTACCTACATAGCAGGAGCCCACGATGATTGCTGAACAAGTGTAGATCTACTCGGAGATCAGATTGATACTTCAGTTCTTTGCAATTACAGTGTGTCGAGTCTGTGTTTTATTAACCGTCAACCGTGTAAACAACACAGTGTTGTACCTTAGATTTGAGCCAGCTCAGCTTGTTTGTCGGCTTCAAACTCGCCTTCGTTGTCATCGTCTCCGTTATAGTCAGCCAGCTCCTCCTCCATGTCCTTGTCTGTCAGAAAGTACCACGTGGTAATCAACACAAAATACATACAGATGCCTTTTCAGCACAGCGGATCTATTCATTCATCTTTATCAGTAAATAACTTTCCCACACTCTTAGTCTTCATAAACCCAGAATTGACTGAGGATGAACTCACTCTAGGCCCACACACACATGGTCTGTTTTTATTCTATTGAAACACAAGTACCTATAGTTTCAGTGTGTTTACGCTGCTGTTGTTGTTGTTTCTCCAAATCAACGTCACTCAAATCAACTTCCTCGTCGGCATCATATTCTTCCGGCTCCAATAGTTTCTGACCAATTGGACTCTCAGCTGCCCTCTCCCGGCCAATCAGCAGGCCGTCCAGCCCCGGGTCTGCCTCTGAAGACATGACGCAATTGGTTTTTGTGTCCAACAAAATATGTTACCTCTTCACTGGGAATGCTTCAGTGAAACGGGTCCTCTACCTTCTGTCCGAGCGCCCTCCTCGTGAGCATCCATCACTTGCAGCTCTCTATCCTCGGTCAGGTTATTCTTCAACGGCTCCCTGGTCTCGGTCTCTGTCTCGGTCTCTGTCTCGGTCTCCTCCTCCTCTGTTTTGACAGCTTGCTCTGGTGCTAGCAAAAAGTCCTGCTGGACTGCAGCAGCTGAGGGAGCAGACTGGGACTCTACCTTGGAGAGGTCCTGCAGAGGCAGGTCTACCTGGGCATCGGGGCCTGGTAAATAAGAGGGCAGGAAGCAAGCGCAGTGTGAGGGTGCACGCTCGTTACAGTAAATACATTGGTTGCACACTACGCCCTCGTACATATACTTGGATATCAGTGTTGTTACGTGCTTTTAAGCAGCGTCTAAGCAGCCAGGACACCCCTATCTGTCACCTTTGTTTACGATGATCTCATTGGTCAGTAGTTCAGGTGGATCACTTCCTTTGGGCTGAGAGAGGCTGGGCATTTGGCTCACAACAGTTACTGTTTTAGCCGCATCAACCTCAGTCATTACTGTTTTGCCCTCTTTAGTTGTTTCCTGCGGGGCAGTAAAAAAAAACAACATACATCACATTACTTTGTCATCAAAGCGTAAAAGGGAAGAAAAGGAAACGTAATGCTTTTAAATGTATTTATTTTTGCATTAAAATCTACTTATCTCCATTTGCATTAAAACAGACTACAGAGAATCACTTTGATAACTGTGTTTGTCATAAAGGCCGCGTTAAGAATAATTGCCAGGCCTGATGAGTTGCTGTTTTTCTGAATGACAAAGAAACGACAACAAATGCGTTGAGAAACAGTTTGAGGCTTCCGACTTTGTGCATATGACGCGTTCCCAGAGTGCGACCGCCAATACTTATTTATTATACATGGTTTACATTATTCCACTTGGTACAAGTAGGAAGGCAACATACCTGTGGGGAGAGAACCGAGGCTAAAGTGAGCTTATCCATTTTCTTCTGAACTTCAAGTTTAGCAGCAGCCAGTCTCTCATCACACAACTCCTTCTGAGCCAGGACCTGGGACTGACAATGGGTCCTACACACGTGTAGAAAAAAGCAGACGCAACCACGTGCCTACTTGTTAACCAGGAATGACCGACGCACAAATTCACTGTATTGAGGCAATTACTAAAGCTGAGCTAAGCTGAGGTTGCAGATGATTTACTAGGGGGCTGCGACATACATTTACCTGTATTGTTAGAATTGTTTCAAGGAATCTTTTACTTACATGTCGTAGGTGAGTTTGTTGGTGAGGGTTTTGATGTTGCCATGGCAACTCTGTAGCTCCTTTTGAAGCTTTCCCAGGTCATCATTTACCTGATTAAACTGACCTACAGAACATCCACAAAAAACACATTTAAAAAACACGTGTGAGTTATGATTTGAACAAACAGAGAAACATTTTTGAGGGGCAGTAGTTTGGAGTTGCCTTTGAGTTCCTGGATCTTTTTGGTGGTGGAGGAGACGTTCTGCTGCAGTGTGCCCTTGTAATAAAAAAAGCAATCGATATTCACAGTTGCTAAACAGTTATTGTCAATTTACAGTGGAATGTATGTGTCGGTAGTTTTTAAACAATATATGAAGAAAAAGATGTTCCCCCGGTGTCGTCACTCTGTGTGCGCACCTTCTCTTGGCTGCAGGTGTTCTGAGATCCTTCTAGCTGTCTCTTATAGAGGCTTTCTATGTGGCTGATCTGTTCCTTCTGTCTCAGGATCTCTTCTTGGAATTCATTCTTCTTCAACTCTGTTGCTCCTCGCTCTGCTGCTCCACGTCGCACTTGGCCTTCCAACTCATACAGCTTAGTCTGTGTGACACGCGCAAGACAAAAGGTAACGGCACGGGTGGAAGTAAGTTGCACTGTAAGCTACGGTTGGAAAACCCCTCAAAACACACACACACACACACTCACAGAAACATAGAAATGAGCCTACTTGTAGCTCCAGGTTGCGGGAGCTCGACACCCAGTAGTTGAAGCCCAGGACCAGGATACAGGCAATAAGAGCGCCAATCATTAGAGGGGGGGACCTTCCTCCACGACGACCGTTTACCAGACCACCCATAGCTGTCTGCAAGCAGCACACACAGAAACCAGTCAGAGCACTTTCCAGGAATTGTGTAATTACATGTTTAAAACAAGTCATTTCTGGTGATGGAATTGCATCTACTATTTGAAGATGGTCGGCCGATATGAGGCTGGATGTTGCTGATGGCGAAATGGCAAAGGTCATTAAGGAGTCTCCTGGTTGCTGTTACACATGAACAAACCTCACCGGCGACCCTGCAGGCAGGAGTGAGGGGGCTTGTATCCAGATAATGTTTCCCCACCAACTATTTTCATGTCAGCGGAAACAAATTATAGGCTATGTAATATATTACGTTCAGCAATTACGATACTAGAACTTGTTTCAAAAATATTAATGACACACACCTGCATGTTGTATTAATTAATATGCCAGTTTGCTCTTATCTGATAGATACTGGGAAAGCACACAGTGACAGGATATTCCCAGTGGCTCACTGGGGCTGAAATACAACAAGTGCAAACATAGACAGGTACCAGGTGGAAAGAGGCGTTATGAATAATCTAATCTACTTCCGTGCTTAGTAACACAATGCAGTAGTGTATCATAGATCACAATATATAACCGACGCAATAGAAATAAGCACGAGACAAAGCCCATAAACCAATGCTGCAGGTAGTGATCCATCACGTACAATCACTTGTGTTATGACCCAGAAACAAAAGATGTCCGGTAGCTACTGAGCTCCCTGCCGGTGTTTACATTAGAAGGGGGGGTGGGTGGCACAAGGAAGTTACCCTCAGCTGAAGAGGATCTAGAAGCACCGCAGTGTAAATAAAGAGTATGCTACCAAATCACAGCGCAGGCCTGCCGAGAGGTTAAAGCGCGGGTTTAGTACCCAGACTGAGCTCCAGCTTGTGACATGTGAACAGCTGAGATCAGCCCACAAGGGACATCGAGGTCAGAAAGGAGCTAGCTAGACGTGGGTTAAGAGTTCACACGAGATGAACGGTTTCTAGTCAAATGTATGATTACAAATGAATAACAAAAGAAATACAAAACAACGGAGAAGGTAAACAATAACAAAACTAACATTGAGCGTAATCGGTTTACTGTTTCAAGTAAAAAGCAACAAGCGTTGCAGGATAGCGCGAGCGCGTTAGCATAACGTTACCTCGTCCCCAGTTGACGTTAGCTTGAGTTGGGTTAGCGGTTAGCTAACACGAGAGAACAAGAATCGACTTGATACCCGAACGAATCAAGATTTGCAACGCATTAATTAAATGTCGAGCGCAGTATATTGAGTTGGTACTCAGAAATATATGAGACAATCTGCCAGCGCGTCTCCGGCAATTATCTGCGCGATACCGCTCGCCAGTTAACGTTAGCTCGTATCCACTATTGCCATACCAACAGCGATGAGCCTAGCAACGTCCGGGGACTGCCCGGTGCGGCCTTCACTTGCTGTAGGAGAGGAGCATCTTAGACACTTTCCCTGGTACAATACCCTAAACAATAAATGTATTCCAATGCCTTTAATATGAAAAAGGGGCATAGGTTGGATTGACTTCCGGAGTTAAAATAATAGTATGGCGTTCCCCTCTTGCAGTAAATCTTTTGAATATTTAACTTGTCGACTTTTGATCACAGTATTATAATTTGCGAAGTGCTTTAGAATGCAGCACTGTTACTCGTACTGTTCGGGATAACCACGTAGAATCATATTGAAATGAAAATTAAATCAACAATCAAAAGCACAACAAATATTCAAATACTGTTTTGTTTATTCATTCTTACCAAACCTTGAAGTTTATATAACGTGAGACATTTGCACAACCTCTTATAATATAAAAAAAGTGAAGGTCTGAAAAGACAGCACTTCTTTTATTTAATTAAGTCATTCATCATCTTATGAACATTTTGAAAATGGGTTAGATTACTATGTTTAAATGCATCATCTTGGTATACAAAAATACAAAACATATACACCCTTACAGAAAATAACTGACAAATTATACATAAACAAGTCATCTCTTCCCAAACACAAACTCTACACCATGAAATATTGAGTATATCAGTTAGCATGTTCTTGTTTTCACAACTATTTTATAAATAAAATGTATTAACCTGTGTTGTGAAATACTCGGACAATAACGCATTTCCACATAAATCATGTGGATTTCCCTAAATTACTGCAGATGTGTCACTGTGCCATTTATCTCCTTTATCCATAAATCTACACTTGAAACTTCACAGAAAATATCAAAAATACATTCAAAAAGGAGTTGGCTCTTCAAAAACAGGTTAATCACATCAATTGCTCTCTTCCAGTGAATACTAGTTATAAATCGATTGTATCTTCCTCTATATTTCCTGAGATACCGTATAATCCTCTTCATTCAGGCTCTCCTCAAGAAGACGTGCATTCTTAGTTTTTCTTTAAGTTCCAGCTTGAACGACCTTTCTTCGCTCTTCTTCTATGCCTCCAGTGTATCAAACATCGTCAAAGATGCCTGTCCGAGGAGGGGACAGAGAAAGGTAACGCCCTCCTGTGGGTCTACAGTGTCAGAAACAAGCGTGTGGGATTAAGGAAGCTTGTTGGGAGTTTTATTCAGCTCCAAATAAACACCATGATCAACTGATTTATCAAAAACTAAACAGACCTTCGGTTTGGTGAGTCTTCATCACTGGAATGATCTCGCAGTAAGCCTCTCTTCTGCTCCACATCCTCTCCGTCTTGTCTGGTGAATGTGACGGCTGAGAAAGAGAGAGAGCAATGTCTACACTCTGCAAGCAAGCAGACCTCTTGATGGATATCAGGGAAAGTAGAGTGGCAAACCTCCACAAAACAAAACATAATACAAAAAAAGTCTCAAATAGGAAATCAAATTGTTTGAAAATACATTATTATTATTATTATAATATATCGTTCAAGAAACTTTGAGAAACACTGCAGAATATTATATTCCATACTAGGTTCCATTGTTTAAACTTATATTCTGGCGCCGCACGAGTGGCACTTTGACCTGCACTGCTGTAAATACAAATTTCCCCGTTGGGGGACATATAGAGGATTATCTCATGCTATCCTCACCACTGCTCTGGATCTCTGTGACACGGCTGCTCTGGTCATCGTTCAACTCTGTGTAACCGGCTCTTGTTCTCCCAGTGGCCCCATGAACGCCATACCGCTCCCTCCAGGCCTGAACCCCAAAACAAAAAAAGGCCCATAAATAACTGTTAACGCTGAACACAAACTAATAGAAACAGCAAGTAAACCAACGTGAAGAGGTTTTTTTTTACTTCTAGGAAAACTGAAATAAACTAAATGTTTACCCATCTTCGGTTTTCTCCATCCTCAGCTTTCTGTATTTTCCTTCTTTCTATAAAAGAAGAAATTAAAGGACATAACGTTGAAGCGGTGAGGTCCTGGCGACTTTCAGATTTACAGCAACAACTGGTCGTGAATTGAGGTATAAAAAAAAATGGATGAACCATTCCCTGCTCACTGACTCATGAGTTTACCAGATTCAAGACGGGAACAATGAATTGATCCAGTCAGCAATAATGTTGCTAAACAGACGTGACTGAATTTGGGATGAAACTACCTCTTCTGATGAGTTCCCTGCCTTCGTCCACCAGGTCAGCGGTTAAGTGGTCGTCAGTGATGTACTGATGGAAGCCCAGGAGGTTCAAACAGCGAGAACCCAGGCTACAAAACACACCAAAAACGTTTTATCCTCATGAGCTACTACATATGACCAACACTATACATGAATGCACTATTTGTATCATGTTGTTAATAAAGTGTCATTGCTTATTTGCTTACCTGTAAAAAGTTGCAAAGCAGAGCAGCAATACCAGCATAGGATAATAGATGTAGAAACCATCCGATATAAAATACAGCACACGCATAGAGCCCATGATCTGACAGGGGGAAATAAAGCGGATCATTCGGTACTCCAATTGGTTAGAACGCACACATCATTCGGACGGTTCTACAAATGTTTATTTTGTGATAACAAACTCAAGTGCGTTATAGGTCTTCATATGGGCAGGTTGGCGTTTGGACTCACGGAGGTGTAGGACGTCTGTATTCTGTCCTGGTGCGAGATGGCGGAGTCCATGTGAATCAGGCCCAGAAAGTTAAGGCACAAAGGAGGGGTCAGACGACAAAAGAGCCTGAGAGTGAGAAAACAAAGAGAAGGATCCCCGATATCACTACACATGATGTGGGAAGACCACACTGACCTGCGTGCTGTTCACTGTAAAAGCTGCTGGAGTTTACCTTGATGTCAGAATGCCTCTATTGTGCGAAATAATGATCTTTTCTAATGACTTTTAGGAGGAACGTACATGCCGCTGAACTGCAGGCTGTAAGCATCAGTCTGGTGATGTGGCACCAGGTAGTAGTAGTTGAAGACTCGTATCCTGAACACTGTGGAGTAGACGCAGACACACAGGAAGAGGATACTGACGAAGCACACCATCTGGTGGAGAGAAACAAAACAAGTGGCGACATAAAGTAGATGAGCAAGCTTAAAACGGTGTTGGACGTGGAAGATTTTGTGAAGAATTGACATTTCAAAACCGCGCTGTGAATTCGCTTTCTTAAACTGAGATACACTCGAGCTCGACATTTTATTTTTTGTCAACACACGCCCACCTCAATGCAAATGTAGTTGTGCTTTTTTTCAGCCATCTGAACAAAGACAGCGAAGAGGGAGAGGACCGGGTGTGTCGTGAAGAAGGTGCACTCGGACCAAACAACCGCTGCAGAGAGCAGACACAGGAGAACCGCCAGGAGCCTGTAGAAGCCCTGCCTGAGCACACACTCCCAGTACCACTCTGAGACAGACAAACACAACACATGTTTACGTTTAGCCGCATACTTTGAGGCAGTGACACCCAGACCACGAATGCAATTAAAGTGGGGTAATTCTGGGGATCCACTAAGAATAAATACATCTGTGCAAAAACATGACAGGATCAAGGCCATCAAATGTGATGTTCTTTAATGTTCTAAAAGCAGCGTAGATGTTTATATTGTTTGCTTGAAGATTAAATATAATGCTGCACTACAAAGTGAATGAGTTCTACCCATCGTCACATTTCTTATTAGCAGCCAGAATAATAAAAATAGCAGTGTTTAACTCCAAGTTACAACTGCTATGTAACAAATAAAGTCAAAGAAACACCAGCAGGCTATAAAAAGTTTACCTCTATAATAAAGTAAATGATCATGGTAATACTAATCAGAAGTACTGCCATTAGGTATCAAGTGATTGCTAACTTTCTATCTGTAAGTGTGACGTTTTGGACCGAACTCACCCACAGTGGGAGTGTAGATGAACCTATGGATCCAGCTGGCGTGGCGTTCTGACGGGGAGCTGTGGATGAACTGTCGGATCGGGCTGCTCTGGCTTTTAGCCACATCTTCTAGATGAAAGGCCTCTTCTAACAAGATGGACCACTGAACCTGAGTCTGGCCGTGACTCTGCACAGCAGAGATGACCTGAAACACGCACATACACATGATTCACTGCACGCATATGTATTTTGGTTATTTTGGCACAGTTTGCTTTAAAACTTCAAAAAGTCATTACTTTTTTATGCAGCTTAATCAAGCCTCTTTTGGTGGGAGGGACATTCTGCTCACCACCGGAGCTTTCCACGGTTCTTCCCAACTCTTCTTTATACTCAGAGGGACACTGAAATGAGACGACGCTCAGATGAAGAGCCCGACTGTAAACGCTGCAAATACAACATTAAACATACGCATGTATTTCTCACCTTTGTAATGATGGTGTCCACACACTTCCTGAGGCAGTGGTTGTACCGGACAGATTCATGTACTCCTGCCACCTCCTGATAATGAGCAATAAGTCCTGGTTAAATTAAATCAACCTATCTAATGCTGGAATACTTGCAGCGCATAGAACTGTATATAAATTCTCACCTCCATAACATCTGCCAGATTCTCCTCTGCCGCCACCTTCTCAGTAGCAACTTTAGCTGCCTTGAAGTAGGTCTTGGCCAGCAGGTAACCATGTGACGACGCGAGCCAATAGGAGCGCGGGATCTCCACCAAGCCATAGCCGAGCAAAAGCACCAGAAGGAAGAGGCCCCAGGTGTTGGCGGCTGTGATGCCGATGGTCTGGAGCTCTGTCCTGCACACGTTTTGCAGATGTATCAATGACATAAAACCAGCACAGAAGAAATTTGGTCAACAAAGTAATTTAATGTTTCCTGAATAGAGGCACGGACGACTCACCATGTGAATTTCCACTGTGGGTGAGCGGCCACGTAGACGAGCAGAGAGATGAAAATAAGGAGGTAGGTGCCATAATAAATGGCATTTTCAATGAGCGCTGTTTTAATCTTCCCAACTCTGGAGAAAGCTCCCGACCGTGCATACGACTGCATGAAAGGCAACAGCAGCCTGTGCACACACACAGACGGCCAAAGGAAAAAATAGATTTACCAGCACACAATTGTATTAAAAAAGTGGAAGACACAGCAGTTGCGCCCAAAGTTTGAATAAGTGTGTGAATACCTTACCAAGTAAGAAACTGGGACGTCCAGTATACAACCCTCCAGAACACCGGCAAGATGGCATCTGGTATGTAACTCCACGGCTCCTCGCACACCTTTAAGATACTGTAATACAAACAAAAAGGCAGTGAGCTCACATGAGGGAACACAGTGAGCCGCAGTGATGTGCCTCGCTGTCGAGTTGCTACTGACGCTTCAGTCAGAAGAGGTTCCTCTAATTCACTTAGTTTCCGAATGACTCCAATGAGAAGTAGCATTGACAAAAACTTAGGAGATGCTGTTTATGGAAAGAGATGTTGCCGCTGAATGTTATAAATATCATTTGAATTTTGCGAGAACCATAATCATTCAAATTCAACTCATTGGATCGGGCTGGAGGTTGACATGTCAGACATGAACGTCTCAAAACAAATTATCCAAATAAAACTAAAAAACTAAACCCCTGCAGGTAAACTTTTTTTTCATCTCCACAGTTTGACAGCTTCAGAGAAAGCGTATTTCAAATGCAATGCTGTGAAAGAAAAATGTGTTTCTTGGATAAATCATATCGTGATGAAATTCAGTTAGCGTGAATCACAATGACATTGTCGCAGCTGATAATAACAACCACATGCTTCAATTCATTATTTAGCAAATTACCAGTATACTATGTGATATGACATACATCATGGTAGAAGATTTGGTTTATATCCCGCAGCCCTAGGCCAAAGGAAAACACATATCATGCAGATACATATATAAGGAGCCACCCTTGTCAGATAAATCACACATCATCTCATTTACCTGTCAGTCGGATTAACAGCAGAGTTGTCGTCTGTCTGATTAGTGCGTCTCTCTTGAGTTACGGAAGTCGGGTGGATTGCATTGTCCAGAATGCACTGCTTGTAGATGGTCTAAAAGGGGAGCAGACGTTACACAGTCGGCTCGACGACGAAGCCTTTTCATCGCGTTATACAACGCCAGAAGGCTGGAGAAATGAACACACAAAGCTCAACCACACCACCAACAAACTAACATCCCGCTGATCCCGCACTGATCCCTGATGTTTACACACGCTTCAAACAGCTGCAGCCGTTTGCATACCGTGCTGACGTCGAGCGGCAGGATGAAGACGATGAGGAAGCAGAGGTACCACGACAGCAGCGTCCCCAAGAGGACCATGCGCTGCTGCCTGCGCAAATCCCCATAGCGCTGCAGGAGGTAGAGGGCCAGGAGGAAAACCACCACCACCACCACAGCCAGCGCGGCACCACTCATACTGACGGACGCGGAGACAGGCGTCAAGGATTCATTGCGGCGACACACTGGAGGCGGGGGAAGAGACACACACAGACGAGCCGATTGGGTATCAGCTCTCACATGGTGGACAACTGGGAGAGACGGTGTGACCTGAACAAAGGCTACCTATAAAAAGTTATGAGTCAAAGAGGCCAGGACAGACACACAGACACACAGAGAAAGAGAGAGAGAGAGAGAGAGAGAGAGAGAGAGAGATCAGGGGGAACTGAAAGAGAAAGATTGAGTGACATGAGGAAGAAAACTCGGACCATTCTATCGGTTTATATGTTTCAGCTCACCAACTACAAATCCCATTTACTTTACTTGAAAATATAATTTCTGTTTAACTTCCATTAAAATATTTTAGCAGACTTGTGTAACGTTATAAACGTACTGAAGTGTAAGCGTTGTTTTTCCATGAGAAGTAATTAATGGATATCAAAAGGGGGGTGGGGATGATTATAAATAATTATATATTTAGAATAATTTGTGGATGAGGTGGCTTTTTTACAGTTACAGTTACACTGGTAGTTTGACAACAAGCATTTTTTTTAAATCATAACACAAAAATCGGTTCTATATTCTGGCCGACCTGTCTGCATTACTTGTCAGCCCATCAGCATTTATCGACATTATTTTTTGATGCAGCCGTCGGAAAAAAATCGTCTTTTGTTTCTACCAAGAATTGAATTTGCGGTGACCGCAAAATCATTTGACTATTCCTGTCCTCTGGCCTTTGTGGGTCATTTTTACACCCCGAACCAGCACAACAAAGCAGCACCAGGCTCACGGAGCGCACTGTGGTCTCTTATTAGCGACCATCAGTCTGCGATTAAATTATAACAGGAACTAACAGGAAGTGATTCTTACCTTTAGCGGTGTCCTCTCGGGACCAAGTTGGTAGAGCAATAAACTGTGTGAATGACACAGTTGTCACATCGTGTTCCTGAGACGTGAAGCCCAACAAATGTACACAACCTTTAAAACTACATTACGTAAGGGTCGAATTCCACGCGCCGTTTGCCGGCGCAGTGAGGGGGTTTCTGGGTAATGTAGTCGAACAACGTCGTCTCTCAGACCGGAAACCGCTGCTGCTGTTATAACACTCCGAATGCTAAACAGATATTGTGATGAGTTCCTCCCCAACCCACAATAAAACAGAGGTAATAAAGTACCTAAATGATTCATTTGCATTTATTAGAATGTTCATGTGACTACATTTAATTAATGATTTAGATTCTTTTCTCAATACAGATAAATACTAAAGTATTAACTGAAAACCATCTAGGATATATTGCAGATCAATTGTTTGTCCCCAAAGTGCAAGCGAAGTACTAGTGAACACAGTACTATTAATGAAATACATTAATTGGCCAGTTCTTCAATCACCACGGCACTTGAATATGGAAACATGTACAAACAGTATTATTTTTAATATATATGCTAAACATATAAAAAAATGTATGTGTACCTAAAAATAAAATATTACTAGAGCTGCAAAATGTTACTATTCTGTTATTCTCATTCATTTTCACATTTTTCACTCTAAAGTAGACACTTTTGGCTGATTGTCACATATTTTATTTCAATAATACAACTTATAGTTTCTCATCTCATTCAGATTCCAACACCTTGAATTGTGACACTATACAATAATGCAGAAAGCTTTTCAGCAAATTAAATCATGTTCCCACACACTGATGACTGTGAATTCAGTCTATGATGGAGTCACCTCGGGGTCTAATAGCTTTCCAACCAACAAAGTTTGCAAAAAAGCAACAGATGTTCTCAAACATCTTCGATCCTTTTCAGTTGTAGAGGAACATCCACACATATTGGTTGTCGGTGTACAGAGGGCCCAGCATGTTGAAGCACACAGCGCGGTGCTCCAGTAAAATGTCCATCTGGCTCATCAGGTCGAGACAAAGATGTTCGACCAGATTCAGGCAAACACACCAGTCACCAGCCGCTTTGGACACACCGAGTGCCTCCAACCACACTGACCCAAAGATGTCCAGCGATCCAGGCCACTCCGACAGAAGGTTGTCCATCAACTCCATCTGGTTCATGGATCTGTTTTATTACGCACAGTGTACATCAGCACTGATGTACTGATCCTTTGCCCTGTTGCATTATGCTTGCCTCTCTCTCTCTCGTATCCGCAGGGCGAGATCCAGACAGCGTAGATAAAACCTGGCTGCGTTGGCAGGTACTTATTGGGGCCATCTGTCAACCTACATTCTCACTTTAACCCATCATGTCTTTATCTCTTTCTCGCCCAGGATTAGCTTAATAAGCTGACCACTCAGACCCGAATGCCCTAAATATATCCTCAGCATTCTGATGCGGGAGTGACACGTAATCTTGTGATCCTGTTGTTTTATGTAGTTACTCGGCCTCTGTCCTGATTTGAGCTTCATTTGTGTGGCTCAGACAAACTGCACTGCTCACTTCTCTCACTGAGATGGACAGGTACATGACAGACAGGTCAATTCAAGTTCATCCACACTGAGAAACGGAATTCCCTTTCAACTACTGAACACACGGGACGTGGGACACATGTGTGTTGATCTGATCCAGCACGGTTTTCGATGCCACCGACATTTCTTGCGTTCTGTTTTGGTGAGCGAACAAGAAGGATCCCACTGACTTTACAATTTCGATAGTTGTTATTAAACAGTTTCCACCACTAGAGGGAGGTAATGAAGTCCTTTAGCATCTTCAGCATCTCACGAAGATTTTCAAATGCACCTTCTTATACACTTAGACGTTAAATCATTTTAGACATCAACCAAAAATAAAGCTGAAAATAAAATATTTTCAGGGCAATGAGATACATATAAATCAATTCATGATTTTTATTCATATTGTCATTCATTGGAGCAAAATACGATCATGATACTTGAACACAAACAAAATTTAAAACTCAGAAGCTTGTTCAGAGCCTGGAGGGAGACTGAAACTAAACTATGCTGAGATAATAGTGGCCTCACCTTCAAGCTATTGTCTGCTCTTTTTTTATTCTACTGCCGTTGAGCGCTTTCATCTTTTATTATATCGGCTTTGTTGCCCAGTTGTTTATGTTACAAAAAAGAAGGGTATCATATTTAAATCTTCGATAGCCTTGTTCATAGCAAAGCCTTGTCCTGCCCAAGATTCAGTGCTAATAGGACAGAGTCCAACCGTGAGAAAGGGACAACGTTTTGCAGCCACTCAGCCTTCAGCAGATTCCCAGAATAGACACAGGGCAACCTAATTGAGGTAATAAACACTGTACAATGCAATACAGTGCATCAGATAGTTCTATCGCAACTAATTAACATGTGTGTTAGAAAAAGTCTCACTTGACATCGGTTTCAATTCCTGCGTTGCGGATCCACCAGTGAGCTCCATCTTACAGACTACTTAATTCCCTCTAAAAATGACCCTAATGGCTTCCACTTGGGTTCTTGGTTCCAGCTAAATTACCTGATTGTTGTATTACGTGTGACATACGTGGCAATAAATGGCTTCTGATTCTGCATGAGGTACGTCCAGGACGGTCTCTCCGCTTGTTGATGTGCTCGGTTCATGTCAGGCTCTCTGTGGCCTCCACGGCCCGATAACGCAGCTTCTGTGTAGCAGAAAACTTCATTCCTTTTCTCTGCTTTGTTTTGTTTTCTCCCATTTGTTGATGTTTAACCAATAGCTTAAGCTTGGTAAGAAAGAAGTTTCATCATCTAATAGTAGGAGCCCTCTAATGCTACTTAGTTTGTGACTTGAGCATACCGGAGCTACTTTGAATCCAACTAATTTCAGTCTTAGCCTTTATTTTCTTAATTTGTATTTAATTGTACCATTTATTTGTTCCTTCAGTCCAGCTGACTGTGGATAATAAGAGCAAAGATATTTCACATTCTTCCCAAAACTAGAACTGAGATACAATGTTACTTTTTTCACACAGTGTGTACTGTTAAAAACAGTACACACTGTGTCAAAAAGGGGCGTCGGCTGCAGGTCACGGGGGGCCGGGCACAGGGCGTGATTTGTGATGGGGACTGAGGAGGTGGAGGAGGATGGATGAAGGCTGGAGAGAAGGAGTTGTAAGAAAAGCATGCAGAGGAGGCTTCGTCTCACATCCTAAAATTAAAAACCAAATGCGCAGGATTATTTACATTATATCACATATCTTGTTATTCATTTTTACGGTCTCTTCCTACTCCCTCTTTTCCCACCTGCGCCTCATCACACATATTCATCAACCATATTGATCTTCCCTTTCACTTAAATGCATTTCCATCTTTGACTTTCAGAATGTTCCAACTTCACTTTCATAACTTCCATCATTTATCACATCTCTTACGACCCCATTCTATTATCTTTTTCAGCAATTTTATCTAAAGCTACTTTTCAGGACTGTCCTCACGGTTAATAGAAACCCATATTTGTTTTTACGCCTTTCTGACATGGATAACAAACAACCGATTCCTTTTATACGATTCGGCGGTCTGGGATCACAACACAGCCGATCCCTATTGTTATTACTCTTTGGCAAAGGCTAATAGAGACCCCCGATCCCTGTTTTTAGAACGGCTAACAGGGACTCCCGATTTCTATGTTTTTGACTTACCACGGCTAATAGAAATAGAAATCCCCGTCCAAATTTTAGATATTTTGTCCATACAATTTTTTAAACATCACAACCTCAGTCTCTAGTTTTCCCAAACCGACTAGAGACTGTTGGAAAGCTCTCTCACCAATAATGGAGAAAAACCAAGTCATGTGCCAAGCCTATTCAGAGGCTTTCATCTTCGGAGTAGGAATATATAGTTGGAAGATAAACATGCTAAAACAGGGTGGGCCTCTGGGCAAAACCCAAGTGCCGGTAGTCGACCTCGAATGTAGATGATTTGGCAGCACAAGATTATAAACATCGGCGCACAAAACATCTTGATTATCAGATGACCCAGAACACCGTGTGCCTCTATGTGGAAGAGCACAGACTCTCTGCCGTAATAAGGTAGAACATTATTGCAGTTTTTTCAACACCCCCCGACAGTAACGAAGGTTAAGATGTTACAAAATCATTAAAAGACTACAATGTGGCACATATTAAAGATAAACAGGAATGTTTGAGATGTTGGGGGGACGGCACACTGATGAACTTTGTCCAAGTTGGTCTGAACTTTTATTTGTGACACTGTGGCGTAAAACGTTGGTTACCGGATTTCATTTTCCCCAAGACTGACTGTCCTATTAAGGCAAGGCAAGGCAAGGCAATTTTATTTGTATAGCGCTTTTCATACACAAGGAAGACGCAAAGTGCTTCACATCATAACATTTCATACAATAAAGTGAAAATAAAATGCAGGAATTAAAAGACAATTAAAAACAGCAAATAAAATTAGAAATTAAAATCTTAAATTGTTTAATTAAAGGCAGAGGTTAAAAGTGAAATGTAGGTAAAATTTAACAGAAGGCGAAGCTGAACATAAAAGTTTTCAGTCTTGTTTTAAACGTGGTCAGTTGGGGCAAGTCTTAATTAACCCGTCTTTTCAAAGTTGTCCTCATTTTGCTCTTGTATCAACAAAGAGCGGGTTCCTTGTTGGTAAACAAGAGGGAAGTTAGTTTTTCTGCGTGGTGAACTCTCTCTGTGCTCAGTCTGCAACTGTTACTGAATGTCTAGACCTTCTTGTCTCTTCTGCTGCCTTTTCTCTCTCTTTCTCCCCAGAGTTCTGTCCGAGTTGTTTCTAATCCATGCGTCCAGCACAGGAGTGGGCAAACCTTTTGCTCGCATGCTTTGGACATGGCCAACGTAAACCTCATGGTCCTTTATTGTTTCCACTGTGAAAGTGCTTGTCCCAACAAAAGAGCCCCCTAAACCGTCCCACAATCGCTGCAATGCATTCTTTTTTTTGGCTGGATCATAAACCAGCCATTCTCAACTGGACCTCCTCTTTTTATTGAAGTCTTTTCTTTTTCTTTGTTTGCTCTTCATTTTTTTGGTTTCATCACCCATTTTTCCCTCCCGTCTGTCCTCCGCGTTTTCCTACAACGGAGCAGGCAGCACCGCATGAACATCTCTGCTGAACATCCCCGAGCATTTAAACGGGTCTTCATCTCGACGCACATCTGTCTCTGAAGTGCCGCGGCTTTAGCCTGCTAACGGTTTAAGTTAGCTAAAGTGAAACAGCTGAGCTAAACTCAGGAAGTGCACATTCAAACTTCGCGGTCTGTCGTCGGTGCACAAGAACCACCGCTGTCACCAACGTAACCGAGCGATCTGGGTTTGTGGATGATGGCACTTTAATAACCGCTGTTACACTACAATAACTTTTTATTTTAATTTTAATTATTTGGACTAGTTTGGCGGGCCGGATTAAAAAGCCCAACGGCCCGTATGCGGCCCGGGGGCGGTACTTTGCCCATGTCTGGTCTAGCATAACGAACCATCATGACCTCATTCAGACCAGTGGGAAACGGTGTGTGAACAGCCCCGTCTCCCATCGTGCCCATTGAATAACTTCTACGAGTGCGCTGAGACCCCTGGGTTTGAAGTCTGTAACATTTGATCCATGGGAAACCCATGTGCACAATGATGCCATTGAACAATGTGGCCTCAGTTCTATATGTCCCTCGAGGGCCACTGTAGACCACAGATCTTATAACCTGTCCTGGATACATCCCTCCCCTGAGAGGGGACCGCTCCCATTTGAAACAACTGGCCCGCTGGAGCAGCCTGGGCCAGCTAAAGTTGCACACACTCAGCGGTGCGTAAATCGAGGGTTTGACAACACGGGATGTGTGTACTTATGGGAGAGAAGTTTGTGTCTTTAAAAGTAAGCCCCTGACAGAATGCTGATGATTTCATTTACTGTAGTTAAAGAACAAAAACAGCTAATGTGGTGATGTATTTGCCAAACCATCAGCTTCCTTTTCTTGTTTCCTTTTCTACGAAAGGAGAGGTGCCGAAACATCTGTCTCCAAATGTTTCTGTAATCAGATGAGGGGTGTCAGCAAGAGGGAATCACTATGAAACAAACACAAATCCTTATTTCCTTCCTTTAGTCAGAATATCTGTCATGATCGGATCTTCCCCTTTGATTCATTAGCAGTCGATCTTATTAGAACATGTGACAGCGCTGCAGAAACATGGCTCCTGCCAACAGAAAACAAATAGATTGTGGCATCAGGATGGGAAAAAAGAAACCCACTTGGTTCCACATTCCTCCTGTAATCGATTTAACAGACATGAGACCAGGATTCTTACCTAAGGACTTGAGACGCTAGGCTCTTGTTCACTCCGACTATTATGCAACACCAGCAAAGTTGTTTAATCCTTGCTATTGAGAAAAGGCAGCCAAAGACGCAAAAACTTTATTTTAAAACAAAAAACTGTATAATCTCTGTGAGAGATTCAGAAGATCAATTAACGTTCCTTCCTTGTAGATTTACTTTAACCGCTGCATGCTTAACACTAACCCCATCTCAGCCTTAAGTCTCTTAAGATCCTTTCCAGACCCATTTTGAGACTCTACTGAATGACAAATCCTCTCCAACATTCTTTTACAAAGTAACTTCAATGACCTGTTTGCTGGTAAAATGATGTTACTGCTTTTCTCTTAACAGATTAAACAAACAAATAAGTAACTTGATTAGTGAGCTATAGGGTGGTGGCAGACCATCTTACCTTTGGACAGAGCCAGCCAGGCCTAAAGGTCACTCTTTATTTCCAGTCTATGTGCTAAGCTAAGTTAGCCAACTGCTCGCTGTAGCTTGATAATAACTTCTCAAGGGTGGTGGCGATTTCCTTATCTACCTCTTAGTATAAGATAAACTCATCCTAAGCAGGTGAATGTAAACATGTTCTACCCAGCATCCATGGCAATGATTTCCACCTGTTTCCCTGTTGTTCCTACGGGTTTTATGACAGCAGCCCCGATTCTTTCCTTTATTCTGCGATTCTGCTCTTCAGTTGACCCCATCCGTTGCACGGGGACAGCAAGACAAAGGCGGCTGTTGTCTCTTGTAGCCTGTTGGGATAGCGCTGCAACGGATGCCATGAGGAATGGCAGGGTGCTTATTTAACGCTTTCCAGATGAACTGACAGGAATTTGGCTGCTCGGTGTCACACAGCCAATGTTCAGCTGTGATTTTGCATGATGATGTATTTTTTGGAAATAGTTATGAAATCATTGCTTGCATAACGGCTGTGGTGAAGCATTAACTTTTTCACATTACAAGACATCATTATTTCAGGCAGGCAGAGAGACAGACACACGCGCACACACGCGCACACACACACACACACACAAACAGTCCAGGGTACTCTTAGCAAATTGTATTATGGATAGAGAAAAGGTTAGTGTAGTTAATTGTCCACTTTCATTTTATTTTGTTAGTTTTCCACGGCACCACACAAAGATGCGTCACAGATACAGTACGAATATATACAGTATCTGCCGCTGGTGCAAAGGAGAGAGCTTGGGAGTCAGCTAACTGCATCCTCGTTGCTCTGTGTGCAGCATTGTTTCATTTTACTTCTCATCATGTGATGGGAAGAATCTCACCTTCCCCTTGCTGCACACATTTCAGAGGAACTTTTAAGACTTAAACGTCTCCAGCATTCCACATTATGCGCTCAGACTGTCCCACCAACCCTGGTCACCTGACTCCCAAATGCACATTTTCACCTGTTCTCATTCCCAAAACGTTGTTAAATCATTGATTTTTCTGCTAGCTGCAGTCTGTATTTGATCTACCAGCCTGCCTTGCCCCTCTGATTGGTTTGCTTGTCTAAACTGCCACTGCAGCCGTTGTTTGTATTGGATTGCAACCAATTTTAGGCTATATCGGTATGTAGTACATTACACAGCGAGTGATTTTCCATATTCAACAGACGCAGTGAAGCGGCTGACAATGATGGCCGGTCTATACTGTATGCACCAATAGGCCAGTGTCTAGACTCTGTGTTTACCGCTAAGTGTGGAGTGAAGCTGTTCAGTGGCTCTGAGGCCCAGGGGATGACAGAGGAAGATCAAAATACAATACATATTGTCGCAAACTGCAATTCAGACAGTAATTACCCATTTTTTCGAAGCTTATGATGGTTATCCAGGCATCTCAGAGGAAAGTGAATTTCCACAAAAACTCTTCTTTTCTTTGGTCCACCATATTATGAATGTATCTAGTGCACAGGCTTGTAATGGCAGTTTACATTATAGATAAAAAAACTCATTTTAGTACTGAATCAAGTTAGTTTATATGACATATCTCAACTCAAATAACAGATTTCCACTGTCTTAGAATGATCTCCAGCTCATAACTCCACTGTTCAGCAAATCCTGCACGGATACTTACAATTCTGCATGAAAGTGAAAATGTTTCCTTACGGTCATGCAGGTGCAGAAGGTTTTCTAAACCATTTTTCACTGTATTATCTTTAGAAATTCTGCATATTTTGCATACTATTTTAACAGTATAAAGGACGCAAGTCGGAATCAGGTTATATCATTTTACTGATGTCATATGGAGCAGGAGGTACTTGTGTGTGTGTGCGTGTCTGCTAAACAGTGATTTTTTTGGAATGAGTTGGAAAGAAACACCTTCAGCTTTAATTCTCTCTTTTACACCCACACTGTTTGATCCCCAGACACATTCACCCACCGTCACACATTCACAGACACACATACGCACACACATATGCACATATTTCATACGACCTCAGCAATTACCACGTTGCACATTCTACACTGTGAATTCCTGAAACTCCGTTGCCAAACCAAACGGTCGGCCTGCTTGTATTTGTATCCTCCTCAGTGCGAGCGCTTTGCATTCCAACCACTGAGGCTTCTGTGTCTGCCGCTCAGGTAGTCGTTAGGAATAAATGGCACACATGTAGCTAACTCGCACAAAAGTCAGTTTGCCAAGAACATCTAGTTTAAAAACATGTGTCACTGTTTGCGCAGATTGTTGGTTTGGAAGCTAAATGTTCAAACAGATCACCGGTTGCATCACTGGCAGCTGGTAAACATTCAACCGCTCTGTTTTGCTGAGCCAGTCGCTGTTTTTCGTGAATAAGATGACCTTTGTCTTGTGCCAACGTCTAATGATTTAAAAAGCAGGAAAGGTGCATTGATGAGTGTGTCGGTTGGAGATGTGTCGAAGATAATGTATGAATAGCAGCTCCGCTTCCGTTTTTTTGATGGATGGAGGACTTTTAAACCTCGATTGACTCACTCTCCCCAGGAATCTCCAATCAGGTTGGGTTTATCAAGCGTGAAAAAACATTTGAAAAAACGCCTTAGAGGGACTGAAGAAAACAAGAAGTTCCTTTCTCTTTTTCCTGCTCGGAAAGCTCATTATTCCTCAAGCTCCCCTCTGACTGAAAAGCACCCCCCTGCCTCTCCTCTAAATTACTTAACTTTTTCAGTTCGCGCCTCAGCTCGCCACAAGGCCCCACTGTGTTTAACTCCAGTTCTTCTTCTGCTACGGCACCGCCTCCATTTTCTCACTGGCCGTTTTATTTTCTCCTCCCCTCCTTTCCTTTCTCCTCCCCTCTCCTCGTTTTCTCCCGTTTCTCTTCATTGCTGGTTACTCACACCAAGCAGCTCACAGCCAAAGAGCTCCTCTGTCCCCTCCACGCTGACCGGGCTTTACACCACAACTTTGCCCCTGAAAAAAAATTGAGATTACCAGAAGAATTCATTGCTCAAGTTTAAAGGTACAACGTGTTTTTCTATTTTATCATTTCTTCAAATACAAATTTTAACATTTGACCTGCAGCTGTCTCAGTGTTTTTTTTGCATGTGTGTCAGGCTTTGAATCAATATTGGTGTAACGACACGTGTGTTGTCGTTAGGCAAGTGCACGTATGAGGAAGTCTAAATGTCCTCACAGCTCTGAGTGAACCACGTGTGTTCTTCACTCCCTTACAAAGGGTTTAATTGGCTACAAAGTTACATTATATTACATCTTGTTACACATTTTGGGGAGTAGTGAGATTATTTGCCCATCCACTTTGCATGTGCTGTCTACAGTTTTTGAGAGGCAGTTCCAAGCCAAGCCACGATACACAGCTTACAACTTGTAAAATTACAAATCTTTATCATCTGACTGACTTCGACACTTGTTTTTCTGCCCAAATATCCAATGCTAACTCTCACACTGTGTTCTTCCCTTCTTCTGTCCAAAGGAGAGTTGTGACACAGAGGAAGAGGAGCAACGGCTTTCATTCAGCACCACCTTAAAGGTGCCGGTTTAAAGGTCTCCAGTTTATAACAGATCTGAATTCCGGAAGCAGCTATGGTTCAGAGCAACGGGGAGAACGCACAAAGGAACCAAAGAGGTCTCCACCAGATCCGGTCCGCGATCCAGACCCGGTCCCTGTTGGCCAAGAAGAGAGTGGAGAACATCACCAAGAGTGATGTGAAGGGATTTTTCACTCGAAATGCCTTTGTCCTCTTAACCGTCGCTGCTGTAATTCTTGGTGAGTGTGAACCTTTTCTTTGTTCCATAAGACACTGCTTAGACCTAAAACCTCCTCTACATCATCATTCCACCCCTCCTCTAATTCATGCTTGAAGAGAATAGACAGCCGATGTTCTGCCTCACCCCGTCACTCTGGCGTGACCAATGCAAGTGTGGCAGTACGGAAGAAGGAGAAGAATGGAAACAAACACACCGGACGAGAGAATAAAGGGACCTCAGATGAACTTAGCAGACAGGCATTTTTCTGACCCTGCAGCTGACCCTTGACCTCTTGCTATTAACCCTTGAATCTGACCCAGTGGGAAGTGAGCCAGGCCCACCCACCGCATGCACATCTGCGGGCCGTGACAAACACGTGTGACTTGAATTCTTCCCTTTGGGCTGCTGGGTCAGCCAACTGGGCGCTGTTTGTGGGTATAAACTGCTCGTTGAGAGGATAGACGTTGAATGAAAGCACCACTGCACAAGTATATGAAGTTTAAAAATGACCACAGCGGAAGTGAAATAGCAGCATATGTCACTGCTGCTTTAAAGTCTTCTGAGCTACAAGGATCCTTTACTCATACGCTTGACCCTTGAACGCTTTACCTCACTACTCTTGCATCATTGTTCTTTTGCATCATTATTAAAACCATATTCTTAAGGTGGATTCAGATTTTTTGTTTTGTTATCATGGTTTTGATACCCATTTATAAATATTATGCATAACATTTTGCTCTAAAATGATTACACATAACTATGATATGTAACTCTTATAACATTTTTACTTTTCCTCTACATCTGATCCACATTTTAGGCATTGCACTTGGATTTGCCCTGCGACCTTATAAGTTGTCTTACCGCGAGGTGAAGTACTTCTCCTTCCCCGGGGAGCTGCTGATGCGAATGCTTCAGATGCTGGTTCTGCCCCTGCTTGTTTCCAGCCTCATCACAGGTATGAACATCAGGTCATTTTACTTCCACTCAAAAATCTCCCACAAGAACTGTAGTACTTGAATTATTCTCATTAATTTGAAATGAAAAGAAAAGAACAGCATCCTTGCTTTTTGAACCTGAACCCGTTTTTCTTGACATTGATGATCAAAGTAACACGTTTCTCACACCCGTGAATTTACTAATTACATCACTAATGTTGGCAAAATAAATGTGACATGGTGGAACACAACCAAGGCACACGGTTACTACTTTATAAAGGCAAAAACTATTGGCTATTTTTAGTTTAGTTAAATGTACCTCAGATATCTAAAATAAGCACTTATTCCTGTGTGGCACTTCAAAACAGAATGACACTTTTTAGTTCTAAATATATATATATATATATATATATATATATATATATATATATATCCATCCATCCATCCATTGTCAAACCGCTTATATATATATATATATATATATATATATATATATATATATATATATATATATATATATATATAAAAACATAAGTCACCACACACAGCCTTCTACTTTATCTTCTAATACTGCACAAATTCTAACATGTCGTTTTATCTGCACATCTGCAGTGTGTCCGGTAGCCTGTTGGCTCGGCGCGGGTCCACAGCTTTTTGACAACAATTGTAGAAACAGCTCACACAAAAAAACATTCACCTTTATCCACTGCGTCTGCTAAAACTGTCTCAGTATCTGAAATAAAGTTATAGCACAGCATCACAATGTATGTAAAAAGTAGGGTCATACTCTGACTGTTGGAGATTTTAGTACATTATTAATAAGCGGTGTTGGTTTTCTGTTAATAGAGCACACACCAGGGAAAGTCATTGTTGTTGTTTTGTGGCTAAATAGACCAGACCTCATGAGTGGCCGGCTGTTTGTTCAGTCTACGCTGTTTGTTGGCTTTGGGCCCAGTGGTGGACGGGGTAAAGATTAACTAATAAGTGAGAGACAGACAGACATTGAGATATGCTTTGAATTAGATTTCCTGTCTGTTTTATGAGACTATTAGTCCCTCGGTACAGACACACATTATTATTTGTCTTTGCTTGTTGTTTGAGCCTTTGCCCAGTTGGCACATTTAGGGATAAGGCCATGATGATATCAGTCACATGCTCGACCCATATTCTAAAGATCTCAAACTTGACCAAGCATAACCAAAGCCACTCCAAATGTGTAGCGTTTTAATTGAATAAGCAATCATGGATCTGTGGGATTTGCTGCAACTCACATGTACTTGAGAATATGTTTGAGCGTATGTTTGAGAAGCACACAAACATACTAAGCTGAGGTGTTCTGTCCTCATCCATGGATATAGTGAGTTTGTTTGTTGACATGGTTCATCTACCCTCAGTCAGACCTGCGGCGATGTTGTTTCCAGAGGCGAAGGCCTGCGGGGTTATGACTGAGCTGAGCCTCCACTTGTTATGGAAGTAGAAGAATAGACTTTCCAAAAACACTGGTCAGCAGCACTGACTGGTAAAGCTAGGCGGGACATACTAAATGTCCAATCCTTGAGCAGTGATTGACATCGCCAGAGGCCCATTTCAGGAAGGGATGAGAGAGCCACGTCCGATAATAACCTCCTTTGTGCCGCGTTGAGGCACTACATCAGCACCCTCTGACATCATTGCCACATGACAGCAGCTAAAACACGTCGAAACCAACAAAGAGTCCAGTTTGTGGCCAAGTCATCTGGCTTATGTGTGTAAGTGTGCCCCATCCAGCTTATCAGGTACAGCGTTATCTGCTAAAGCTGTCAACAAGTGTGTAAAAGTGTCTACTTACTTTATAAATACTTAATAAATACTTTATACAACGGAATCGGTTACGCCCTCATTCAATCACAAATACAAGTTTGAATGGCACATGTAATTCTTGCAAATTTGAAATCTGTCATTCCAAGACCTGATCAGAATTAAAATCAGAATTAAAATCTATACAGCTTCATGACAAAACAGTGTTTGACTTGCTTTTGTTTTGATGAATGAAGACACTCAATCAAACTATGCAGAGCAAAAGTCAAGCGACCAGAAAGGTATTTCTGATGTTGCAGTGTGTGCTTTTGGGTTGAACTGATCTGGTTTCACACTAAAAATATGTGAGAAAAGCTCATACGAGATGTTTATTATTCATTATTATCATTGCAGCACTAAAATGTAAAAATCTCAAATGATTTTATAGCTCAGATGGAAACATCATTGGCAATCTGTCAGGGATTTAGTATAGTTGAGGTCAGAGGTCACAACAACAGCAACATTAAATGTAAAAAGTAAATGTTTCAGCAAAACCTGCACACGTACAAATTCCTGTATATGCTGACATTAGAAGCTAGCAGTTCTCCCTAAGTTAAATGGTTCCTGGTTAAGTAGCTACATAGTCCAGGTATAACTTCATACTTTCAATCAAAGAAATCATCATATACTAATATTTTAAAATGTATTTCATGTAAAACCTCATTTAAACAAGTCCAAGTCTAAGCCTTTGGAGATAAATCTTAACATTTAGGGGGGTGACACCGCACTATTTGCTGAAACGTTGAATATAAAATCTCCTGCAAATAATGATGTATTTATCTCAATTGTATTTTCCACCTCTGTACTTGAAATCCCATTATTGAGATATCTTCGGACGGCAAGCCTCCCGGTAAAGTTTTGTTAGGGCTGTGCAATCAATCTTAGCCCAGTGAATGTTAACTGCCCTCTGGTTAGACCTCTAGCAACCCCCCCGTCCCCCTACTTTTGTGTCCAACGAACATTCCCCATATGCGGAAGAAAGTCATTTGGTTCCCCTTCAATCTTGATTCTTTCGTACTTTTGAAAGGATCGGTGAGATCCGTTGTTGCCGGGACAACTGGCTGGGGGTCATTGTGCGTGTGTTGGGCAGACCGAGTCAACAAGTTTTCCCAGGGCGGTCAGAAAAGGAATACGAGGAGAGCAGGAGAATTTGGATGGGTGGAAGTCGGGGGTGGGGAGGATTGCAGCAATAAGATCAGCGTGCAAGAAAGAAAAAGAGGGGAGGCAGACAAAGACGTCGGAGAGTAGTAAGAGCAAGGGAGGGCCGCGACGTGGGCCCCCTGAAACAAGAGGTGGGGTGTTTTGCAAAGCAGGTAAAGAATTTGGGGGAAGAGAATGAGGGAGGGGAGTCGTGGGCATGTTGAGACCAGAGGAAGAGCGAGGGACAAAGTAGGGTCAGCATGTACAGACACACACACAGCTGATGAAGATAATGGCCATAATATGAGCCGACACTTTGAAAGTACAACACCGCCATTGTGCCCATTGATCCGGCTTGTCTGTGTCCAAGTCCTTTTTTCTGGATGTTAGTCCTTCTGTTTCCCAACATTATCCTGTCACAGTCGATTCAATGCTGCGAGAGATCTGCGGAGGACGGTTTGGCCTCCGGGGTCCATGCGACGTTATAAGCATGTGCCTCATATACAACTTTTATTCCCCTAGAGACATTTGTCAATCCTTTACCAAGATCCAGCTGTCTAAAAATATTTCTTGTGCAATATGAAGGTTACCTGTAGTTCATCATTTTCCTTTTCTATATGTATGATCACAAGATTTGCAACCCCGTCGTTGATTGTTTCTTGTGAATCTTGCTGCGAAACATCTGTTGCATGAAACGTTGCTCGTTTGGTGTTTTCTTACACAAATATTCAATTGAGTGCCGTGTTAATCTCTGTGTTGGCAAAATAACCAATGTCTCACTTTGGGACATACGGCGCTGTTATATAATGAAATAGAAAACCATATTTTTAATGATGCTAACCTTTTACCCAAATAGCAAAAGCACAAAATCACAATTTGGGAACTTGATATTTGGTATGAGAGTTTTTGCCATGACTTGTTTCATTAAAAAGTAGCTTGTGAGCCAAAAAGGCGTGTGCACGTCTGATGTAGAGCATGTCAACATAATTTGCGTATAGATCTGGGTGCTGTACAAAAGGTGTTGTTTTCAGTAAAGGTCAGAGTCAGATTGAGTTTCGTGCCGCGAAATCATACATAGCGGGGCAGATAATCCACATAGGTGTATTGGACCCATAATCAGCACTTTTCCCATGGTAACCGTACACTCACAGGGGCAGAAGTTAGCGACAGATCTATGCGCGACTAAAAGTGAAAGGGATCTTTTTATACAAATTCCGTTGAACTTGATTCTGAGAATGTTTAAGTCCATGTGACTGCAAGCTATTTGTGCGCAAATACAAATGCGTGACTGAAAATGGAGAAACTCTTTGGAGCACTTAAGCCATTTGCAGTGAAATAGATTCATTTAGACGACGTGTCCTTCTCAGGTATGGCCGCTCTGGATGGCCGTGCTTCTGGGAGAATGGGGATGAGGGCGGTGATCTACTACACCACCACGACCGTCATTGCCGTGTTCATCGGTATCGTCCTGGTTCTCATCATCCACCCTGGAAAAGGATCAAAGGATGAGTTCATCAAACAGCCGATTGAGCAGATCAACCCAGCCGATGCCTTCCTGGACCTCATCAGGTAGCAACCCAAACTCGTAAAGCACCTTTTGTACTCTGAAAGTCCTTTGTTAAACCTAACAAAAATGTACCTGTTTTGTTTTGTTTTGTTTTCTAGAAACATGTTTCCTCCGAATATTGTGGAGGCTTGCACCAAACAGGTGACTGTCCCTCTCTGTGTCCTTCCTCTGTCTTTGTCCCCCAATTACATTAAAATATTGTATTCCTTAATTGCACATTTTGTGTTGTTTGAAGCCTCTGGGGTACTCTGCTTTTGCATCTTCGCAATGCCGTTGTCATTCCTGTGGGCTTTCAATTACTTACTTGAGACCTCTGTTACACAGGAAATTCAATTCCTCGGCAATTACATGTAAATTTTCTTTCCATTCTTACATCTGACACAGCTCAGCTCAGATTTAACAGAAGCCCTCGTCTCAGTGGCACTTATATGTCCTTGTTTGACCACATTTTATGCAATAGGGGGTATAACGGTGAGATTGGAACATTTTTCAGTACCAGAAGGTTATGAAGGAAGTTGAAAGCAGAAACAAAAAACTACATTGTTAACAAACAGAACATGGTTTTAATGTAAAGAATTGAAATGTACCTAAAGAAGGTGTGTTTTGAGATTTAGAATATTTAAAACACACGTTCTTTATATTCTAGATGTTCATGGTAAATGTAATATCTTTGACTAGAATATTATTCTTGGCTAAAATAATTTATGAACATATTCTTGCTTTAGGAATTAACCGCTCTTCAACTCGTCCCCTTCCCAGTTCAAGACGCAGTATGCCAAGAGAGTAGTCCACGTGACGATGACAGTGAACGACACAGTAGTCACACTCAACGGCAGCCAGGTGATCACCCGGGAGGAGATGATCCCAGTCCCGGGGTTGGTTAATGGGGTCAACGCGCTGGGCCTGGTGGTGTTCTCCATCTGCTTCGGTCTGATCATCGGGGGCATGAGGGAGAAGGGCCAGCCCCTCAAGGACTTCTTTGACTGTCTCAATGAAGTCATCATGAGGCTGGTCGCCATAATCATGTGGTAAGTACCAGCAGGGACGAGACGCTAACGTGGAATGAACTGTTGGATGATGTGTATTAATCGTAACACACCCCACACGCCTCAGGTACGCCCCCATTGGTATCCTGTTCCTGATTGCCGGGAAGATCGTGGAGATGGACGACATCGCAGACATGGGCGGCCAGCTGGGAATGTACACGGTGACAGTCATTTGCGGCCTGCTCATCCACGCCGTAATTGTCCTGCCGACGCTCTACTTCCTCGTCACCAGGAAGAACCCTTTTGTTTTTATCGCCGGGCTGCTGCAGGCTCTCATCACTGCCCTGGGAACATCTTCAAGGTGTGCGATTGGCTTCTTCATCCCCAAAATGTCCAACTCATAATCTCAGACTGATAAGAAATGTCATGGTGGAATGTATTGTAGTTTTCTCACATGCAACACTCAGTGAAGGGCACAGGGGAATTAACTCGTTTCATTGGTAAAGGTCTCACTGGATGCAGCAGATGAAGCGTGTTGATAAGTATGATTGAGCATCCTATGGTGTCTCTGGGATGGGTCGACTTTTTCTATGTTTGGTTTTTTCACCCCCCCCCCCCCCCTCCCTCTCTCATCTGACAGTTCGGCCACGCTGCCCATCACTTTTAAATGCCTGGAGGAAAACAACAAGGTGGATAAGCGCGTCACCCGTTTTGTGCTCCCTGTCGGCGCCACCATAAACATGGACGGCACTGCGTTATATGAAGCCCTGGCTGCCATCTTTATTGCTCAGGTCAACAATTACGACCTTAACTTTGGACAAATTCTCACCATCAGGTGTGTGATATACTGTATTCTACGCTTTCCTAAATGTCCTTCATTCAACGATTTGTAAAACAAACAAAAGGAATGCCTGCTCGTAGATTCTCAACAGTTTTGGATGAACCGGAAAATATTATAATAATAATATATCACATTTGTTTTTTATTGTGGCTAGAAACACAGACAAACCCAAGTGAATCATCTACAAGCCTCAAAACCACAGGTTGCTGCTTTAAAAATGGTTTTCGACTGGTTGTTCTTTTTGACTAGCAGTAGATTTGAAATGTATTTTAGCCCATGGAATGAAATCCAAGAGACCCTTCTGTCCCAGTTTCCCGGTAATTCAATATTTTAGGCACGAAAACAGCATCTAACGTTTGTTCTGCTCTTTCCCCATCAGTATCACGGCTACAGCAGCAAGTATTGGAGCAGCTGGAATCCCTCAGGCAGGGCTGGTCACCATGGTGATAGTGCTAACGTCTGTAGGCCTTCCCACTGATGACATCACACTCATCATTGCAGTCGATTGGTTCCTGTAAGTATTGGTTATTCGACATCTTAGGAAGCTTTTCATTGAAAATATGAATGTCAACAAACAAAACATGATATAGTCAAGGGGTTTCCTTAAGTGACAACAGAGCTCTGGACAAACTGGATTGAGAGGGATGCAACGGCTTAAGTCATAAGAAAATGCCATTAGAATTTAGTGGTATGCATTCTATTCAGCTCTTGTCAGGGGGATTTTGAGGAGACAAAGGGGATCGGCTTGGTGTGCACTCTCGAGTGGATTATGGGACGGCTTCCAGAGACCTGCCTTTAACATCTCTTTTTTTTTATAAAGTCAGCATCTTAACAAGTGCCCTTTCATTGTGTTTGGAAAAGTTAGCCTCCGGTTAAATAATGATACTATTGTATGCAAACACACTTAAAGACACTCCTTGCTTATTTCATGTTCAATGACGTCATCTGTCATCTTGTTGCATCTTGTTGCATCTTGTCTTCTCTATGCCTCCCGTCCTCACCCGTTACCCGTCTTTCCTCAGGGACCGATTGCGCACCACCACCAACGTCCTCGGAGACTCCATCGGTGCAGGTATTGTGGAACATCTGTCTCGCCACGAGTTGCAGAAGGACCCCGAGGTGGGCAACTCGGTGGTGGAGGAGGTAAACAAGAAGCCGTACCGGCTCATCTGCCAGGAGAATGAGTGTGATAGAGAGAGGCCCGTTGACAGCGAGACCAAGATGTAGATTCTTATCTGAAGCTGTCCACATTGGCAGGAAAACTATTGCACTGCATCAAATCACATTTTCAAACTATGCTCGCCTTCATTTGCCCTACCGTCACAAATTTGGGGGGTTTGAAATGAATTGATCTACAGCTAGAATATTTTTCCGCCAAGATGTGTAAGATGTAGTGTGGTCTTTTGTGGCACACCTTTGACTTGAAATGGTCTGCTGTTGCATTGTCTTCTTTAGGGTTTACAGTATGATGCTGGGTACAATATCTCGCATAGGTAGGCTGCTGTTCACTACTAAGACATTAAGACATACTAAGAAATACTTTAAGGCCTGATGGTCCATGGCTTTCATGCCACAACTCCTCTCAGAACTGTGATGACTAATCTCCCCCACTAGAGGTCAGTATTGCTGTGCGCTAATATGCACACAGCAGTTTATAGCCCATATATGCAAGGCTTTGTTGTTATCGTTTTTCTTTTGTTTTAGCGTGTTGTGAGTGAAATTGTTCTTCTGAAATGGTTGTACAAATCCAGCTACTTTCTGAGAAAAGGGCTGCTTTTTTTTTACCAACTTCTGTACGCACATGAGTGGCTTTATTTGAGTTGTGGTACCTTTCAATGACTGAGTGCGTGATGTAATTTACCCGTAGGCAAACGTACTTTTTAAATCAGTCAGTGCTATCATAATATCTATTATTTTTTTTTTAAGTATTCCTCAAACCAATCATTACAATCATGAAGGTGGACAAACCAAAATCATTTTTACCCCCTACATTTGAAAGCATAACCAAATTAGAATTGTAAACCATTATATTTCAACCAAAAAAACACAAAGAAACGTACCAAATTTCTATATAGTTTCCTTATACCATACTGGACCATGCTTAAACATGCGCAATAGTCAGTACTGCTTCAATGGAAATATAGTAGGTATTTTATTGCTTTATTACAATCTGATGAAAAGGCTGAGTTGATCCCTCGGGTCCTCTGCAATGGACATGGGATAAAACTATTGAATTGAAATATTTACATGGCAATATGAAATATTTTTAATTCAATAAATAAAACAGTACTCAGTAGTTTGGATAGTTAACTTTAAATTGTATATCTTCTTTATTTAGATATGTCAAATGAATGTTTTTTCAGTTGCTTTAATATGGATGCATGTTGTAAAGTAAAATATTTCAGATAATTCCACAAACAGTTTGTTTTAGCTCGCTTGGGCTTGAGTTAATTCAGCATATGTAACAATGTATAGGTTGCTTTGTATAGAAGGTTATTTGTAATATACTGTGCTTGTATAGATACATGCAGAAACATATGTACATTAATTGTAGATTCAAAATTGTAAAAGGTTACCTGAGGATTGCGTATGTAAAGATGTTGTAACCATACTAAACAAACCTCATGACCAAACTAACAATCCCTCTAGTTCCTTATGCTAATGAAAAAAATGGCTGATATAAAGGACCAAATGTTTTTGTCCTTTACATACTTGGAAAATGGAATAGTTCCAATGTTTACAGATCCAGGTGTCTCTCTTGAGATGATTGTTTCTTTCATGACTTCTCTCACACACACACACACACACACACACACACACACACACACACACACATGATTGAACAAAAGCTGTAGTTTTATCTTGCATGGATTTTTATGAATAAAATAAATAAACTCAGTGGTTGTGTATTTTTCATTTTATCATGGATATCTGAAAGACCACAAATTTCATCTATGAACTCGATAGATATGTGTAATAAGCCAACCAGATATCTATTGAATAGATCGTTTATCTTTTTTTTAATCAAGGGTCTTACGGACAAAGGGGGTCATATGCTGTGCAGCTCACAGGTAAATTACTAACCGGTAGCTTTATAAATGGACTTGTCTTGAGCTAACTAAGACGTACCTGTTCTAAATACTGTGCTATTTACCCACATGCACATATAAAAGCTGCTCAGGAGGATGTAACCCAAAGATACAGAGCTGCTTAGTGAGTGTCAATGTGACAGCATCTGGTGAAAGCTGCGACTGGAGTGGAACGTTATATTCTCATTGTCCTCTACCAACACAGATTTTGCTCGCTGGAATTGGGAGTCCCAAGCCGATATGCTTTATGGAGTGGTGTAGTTTAGGGCTATTGCCTCCCTACCAAATACAGGATTCTTCTCAGAATACTCATCACTATTATATTTAACAAATGCCAGTGCTGACACCTTGAGGTCAAACAGTGATTTGATCTCCTTCAAAACCCTGTTATTCACACTTCCTGAAAAAATTGTATTTAAATTCATCATGTATGCCAAACCTTTTCAGATAAAGCACTTAAAGGCAGTACTTATAAGTAATACACATACTTTGCGACCATCAAATTTAATAACACAATATATTATAATAAAATAAAAATGTATCTTTCATGAAAGGCTAATCTATGTCTTCATTTTTGTTTACTTTTAACCATCCTAACTTTAAGTGACATAGCTATCAGTGCGTTTGCAGATTTAGATTTTATGGACAGGACATTGTTTAAACGGTGTATAATTATATTAAATTAAAACAACAGGAATTAGTCACTTCAAACTTAGACCGTGACATGTTTGTGCTGTTTATATTCATGCATCAGTAGCAGTTTAGAAAACAGAGGAACCTTCTGAAAGGAATCATTCTGCATGAATTGTGATGCTTAATGTGATCATGTTCATAAGATGACTTTAGCAGCCTAATTAGCAGCCGGCTAATTTGGCTAATGTGGCCTGTTTCATCGCCAGACAGGTATAATTGGTTTATAAAAGTAGGCTATATGACATATTTATTTAGCTGTATTTTTACTAGAAGTGAATGCGGTGGTGAAGGTTGTCTTGCAGCGCCGCCTAGCGGCCCGAAGGCGGAACGTCGCGTGGCATTTTGTTTGGCGCCGATGGAGGGAGTCACTCCTGAGATCTCTGGTCAGTCAGACGGCAGAACTTCCGGTCGGCATTTTGTTCTACGAGAGGAGAGCCTCTCGATGATCGCAACAATCGTCATATTTCTCATTTACTGCCGAAATTGGCTGCACTCATTGCTTATGTCGGCGCGGACCGACTGAAACGCCGACGAACGAATGTTTCCCCCCGAATGTGCGCTGAAACATTCACTCTCGAGTGACGGAAAAAGAACGAATCGGTCCGACCCGGATTATTGTTGATAGCTAGCAAGCTAGCTAACCAGCTAGCTGGCAAGCCAATCGAGTTCCTTCTGGAGGAGCTGCGAGAGAGAAGAAAGGGGGAGCTAGAGATACGGACACGGACAGAACCAACCTAAAACATTCCCCTCCCTTTGGACGCAACATCCTAAAGGTAAATACAATCACCCGTCTACCTTGATGCAACAAAGTTTTTAAAATTGCGATTATTAACAACAACGTAAATAAATGGTTCTGCTGCACTACCACCTACGGCGTCGTTAATCGTTGACCGGGAGGTAACGGAAGCTAGCGAACTAGCCAGCCGAGCTAGCTAGGTGTGTTTTTGCTCCGCCGAGGCGCACGGCCTCAACTGGATGTCATTTGTCGAGCCCGGGGATTGGGCCGTTGCCACGGCGTTACATTCCGTATCGCTGCTTTTACCTCTATTCGCACCGACTCGGCGCATTATCCCGAGGCTCGGAGGGGGGGGCGACTAAACACGCATCCCCTCCGACAAGCGCTTCCTTGTATTAATTGAATAGCAGTCCCCGAATTTGAACGAGGAACAGCGTTAGAAGCTAACCCCACAACAGTTAGAGCTAGTTAGCATAACTAGCTAAGCACTAAAACACCAATATTCTTGGTTGGCGAATGTTAGTCAGGCGACTAGCGATCGTAGCTTCGACCGTTAAATAAAAAAGAAACGCCGTAGCTCCGCGGTGAGCGCCAAAGAGACAACCAGTAAACTTTGGGCAACGCGGCGTTGAGTAAACGCTGGTGGGTTCGTGCGCAAGTAGCGGGCTGCATCTGGCATTTCAGCCAACTAACGTTACGATAAACAGCTTAATGAAGGCTGCCGTCAACCGCGCGTTAGGGTATTAATTCATCGCGGGCTTGTCATGATGTGGTGGTGGTGGACGGTTCGCGCCGTGCTTGGGTTTGCAGGGGGGCGTTCGACGGCGCTGACGTCGGGTTCAAAATGTTTTTGAGTGACTTAATAAGTTACAGCGCGATGCGATCCCTGGCGCTGGAGTTCCGACGTCACTCAACGCGAACTTCCAGCGATCGGGGTTCGGTCTACGTGCTCTGCTGTGCGGGGTTGAACCTCGCCTCGGTCGCCTGCTCCACTACGGCGCACAACAGTTTGATGTTGTGCCGTTTGCAGAATGCGCTCGCTGGTTGACGGCTGCCGGAGGATGCAGCCCCGCCGCCGCCCCTCGCCCCCCGCCCCACACAATACTGCCGCCACCATCATCGTCCCAGTGCATCTGTTCCTTTGTGCTGCCGCCTGCCTGTCAGTCTCACAGCTGTCAGGCAGGCCCCCTGCGCGCCGAGGAAGAGCACTGTAGACGGAGCATGCTATCGTTACGGCAAGCTAATGCAGTGTTTACAATGTGCATCTGTTGATGCTCCCAATAGTTCGGTTACGTGGTGCGGAAGCTGCATGCACGTATTTGCTGTAGCGGGTCCGCGACGATCGGCTCGCACGGAAGCCTGGCGACAACATGGTTGTTTACAGATGTCCTCCGGCCGAGGTTGTTTTGGTCTTCCTTAGAAGTCATGACAGATGATTGATCATATGGGCACCGGCGCTGCGTAATGTGGCATTCTAGGGCTGAAGGTTGCGTAGCGGTAATGACGTGGTTGTTGCAAATATGGAAATGCTTGTTTTGGCAGTCAATATTGCGATGCTGTGTATGACGTTGTTTTTCTGTTTTTTGTTAGTTTTATTTCTTTAACTACTGTTTATGTCAAATTGTCCCCATTAAAGAATAACGATGCATGTTGATGTCAGTAAGTCTGATGCAGTCCCGTGTCATCTTTCAACAGTTTGAAGGAGTGGGACTTTTTATCTGAAATGTCAGTGAGTCTACCCGAGACTGAACAAAATTCTTCAGAAAGGTATTTATCAAATGGTTTCAGCCATTTATCTCCGACTTGTCATTATCTACAATATTAATGCCTGCTTTCTCCTAAATTATCAGACGACTGAAAATATGAACATTCTTAATGGGGGACGACGACTTGTCTTTAATTTGGGTGTATAACATATTTATTATAATTGTGTCTACTGGCTTGTTGTAGCAACCAGGTTTATCCATGAAGCTTGGGCTGATATTTGGAACTCTACAGGTTGCTTTTCTTTGACCCCTTGTCCAATCTTACTTGAGAGGCAAAGGGCACTTGGCAAGAAAAGGCAGACGCCAAATTAAGTAACACTAACTTTGCACCTTTTTATTATTATGAACTGAGGGTGACGTGCCATGTGGTTCAACACTGGTGAAGAGGAGGAGACCGGTTTGGTAGTAACACAAAGATCGATCAGTTGACCACTAATTCAGTTTCACAGTACTAGTTATAATTAGTGTAGAAAATAGAGGAGCATTGGTATAGAGCCCGACACACAGTGCAGTATCTACTGTATTACCAGGGTTAATCACAACGTAAATACTTATTCGCTGAAGTACATGATCACATCTTCTGTATGTTATTCAAAAAAAAAAAAATATATATATACCCGTGGCAGTATGATGCATGACTGGGATCATGCTATTTCCCCCCACAAATTTGCTTTCTTTGTTTAACCTAATGGGCCAATGATATTAATATTGGGAGTTGTGTTTGGAACAAAAAAATATATTTCCCTGCAGAGAATGCATTGATTTCTAGGTTCTGCAGAATCAACAGAGATGCTTGTATAATGCAGATTTGCTGTTGACGTGACATTTAAATGACTCATAACAAGCATAAGTCAGAGGCCAAACTATGACTTCCTTTTCAGATTGGAACAAAAATAGCAGTCCTCGTAATGTTCTATTCTGGTCATTGGACTATGACAATTGATCGTTGATTTGTCGCCGCTCATCGAACATGCAAGTATAATAACACAATATGATCTACTTGCAGGATGGTCTAATAGTCAGTGCTTGACCTCTGAAGACCTGGCATGAATCGTGCTTGTTTCTAACTGTGGAACATACTTTAGTAAGACACCTAACCTGCACTCGTGGTAGTGGCATTATACCCCGAGCAGATAGCACTGAACACTCTGCCCTTATGGATTAGTAACTTATATAAATAATACCAGATATATGAGTGAAACGGGTGAGATCCACGGCAGCGGATCTTGATTGACAAGATCTAATGAGACACGTGTATTTGTGGCTTACAGATGATGCACTCCGTACCATTTCTCTCACGATGGAATCTCAGCATCAGGGCAAACACAGCAGTATTTATGCGGCACATACTTGTTCAATCACAGCACTTGATTCTATCTTTTGGATATGTCTACATAGTATGAAATTTCTTCTTAATTGTCTAACAATTTAAAAACCTTTTATTTAATTTACCGCCTTGTTATTCCTTTTTTCTCTGCACTAACTTTGTAATTCATTCATTCTATAATCCACTTCCTCTCACCTAGGAGTCGGGAGATGTGAGGACGGGTGTCGTTCATCGACCCCCTGATCTACCTGTGTATCAACACACTCCCCCACCCTCACCTTCAGCAT